TTTAAGTTTTTTTTTTTAAATAAAGAAATAGACTTGGTGATGTTGAAGGATAACATTAATTTTTTATGGTTGCTATAACAACCATAGACAGTGGCTTAAACAGCAAATTTGCTGTTTCAGTTCTAGACTCTGAGATAGAGTGTCTTTTAAGGCTGTGTGGAAACTTCCATGCCTCTGTGTCCTAGCTTCTGATGATTCGTTGGCACTTCTTGGCTCTCCTAGCATGTAGAAGTATCGCCCTAATCTCTGCTCTCTTCTCCACATGATGTTTTCCCTGTGTGTTTGTCTACTTGTCCAAGCACCAGTTCCATTGAATCGGCCTACCCTTAGGACCTCATCCTGACTAATTCTGCAATTACCCTAATTTGACAAGGTCATCTTCTGAGGTACTGGGAGGCAAAAACATTTCACAAGATAGTGGCATAGAGTAGTGCTAGGGAGCACTGGTCATTAAGAAAGCTGAGTTTAGTTCTGGCTTGAGTGTAATCTATAGACATTATCTACATTATAACATTTGAATATGACATGAATTTCTAGTCACACAAAGGACTTCTCCAGTGTCAATGCAAATTGACAAAAATGGGGGCCCTAACAGATGGCTACAAAACGGAATGAAGAGGAATGTTGAATAGTAGTGTTTTAAGATGTGTCAATTGCAATTTAATTTTTAGGAAATGTGATTACTAGGAATCCCACAAGGTAGTGAGAGGAAAGCATTGGTGGGGGAAAGAGAACAAGATTAACTCTTAAGTTGATAACGAGGCTAGGAGATTGTTAGAATTCTCAACCTTTGTGTATGTTGAAAATTTTTAATTGAAGCTTTTAAACGAATTAGATAAAGGTTATGTCTTTGTATAGCAACTATAAAGTGCTTGGGCAGCTTTTCAAAGTGAATGGGAAATTGGAAAACAAACATTTATTGAAACTGAGCATGTGCTTTGGATGTTCCCCAAATTTAGGGGAAAACGAGTGTACAATGGGATTGTTGCCCAGCTTAACCTGGATTTTTAATCCAATTTAAGTGAAGATTGAAAACTTGGAATGGGGAAAGTGACTCTCTCCATCATGAGGTTGCTTAGAAATGGTCTGCCTTTTTCTAGGGTCTGTAAGTTTAATCAGGACACCAACTGTCTCTTGTTCGTCACTCAAACCCCAGCATCTCGCACAATGCCTACCAAACAGGTGTAGTCGCAGATCATTCGCAAGTGTGGGCACTCTTCACTAGTTTACTCCCTGAGTCTCAGACACATTAAGAAATCTGTGGACACCACATCACTGTGATGCCCATAGGCTGGCCCACCATCTAAACATAGTGGGTGCAGGCTCTGCATGCTGAGCCATGGCCCTGGACGAATCCCAGATACTGCTGGATTCTGGGGACAGTGGAGGCCTACGTGACAGTCACAGTGGACTGCCCAGAGTCCTAGCAGAGTCTGTGCACCTTCCAGCAATGTCGGTTCTTGGTTCTTGAGTTCTTAAAAGAAAGAATTCAGAGCCAAGAACTCTGGTGGTAGAAGAAGTTGACTTAACATGCAAAGTGAGAGTGCACTCCAAGAGAAGATTGAGCAGGCTACTCAAAGAACTGCCTTTTAGAAAGTCATAGAGCCAGAGGTATTGAGCCCACTGGACTGTGTAGACTCAGGAAATAAGTTACAACGGCAAAAGAAGGGTTCTTGGAAACAGATTCAGAAGATTAGTTCGGAATGAGCTGCTGCTGCTCACTACCCTGGTTGCAAGTCTTGTGTGACCCTTAAGAGTTTAGGAAAAAGAAAGCAAAGATACATACCTGAAGAAAGAAGGCACAGGCAAGCTCTAGAGAGAGAATTCACCTTGGGTCCTTTGCCTTAAAGGTTTTTATTTGTTTACTAAAGGAGGAATTTTAGGAGGTCTCAGGGAAAGATCTCAACAGAATATTCATCAGCTTTCCAGGAGTGTCCCTTAATATACTGATTCCTCAAAATGAGAGTATAGTCCTGGCCAGAGTATCGTCCTTTTTATAGAAAGGTTGGCGTTTGATTCCATCAGGACACGTTACCTAGATTGTAGGTCCAATCCCTAGTTGGGCACTTATGAGAAGGCAACCAATTGATATGTCTCCCTGAAATCAATGTTTCTCCCCTCTATAAAAAAGAGAGTATAAGGTTAGGATCATGGTCTCTACTGATTGGTCGGTGCTAAGGTAGCATGCCATTGGTCATTGTATCTGGTCCTGCTGTCAGTCATGATGTTGCTTCCTCTGGTTTTGCTGCTTTTCTGGGCCTGGAATTGGAACACAACTGACACCTGGATGTTACCCCTAATTTGACCAAAACTCTATCTCTGTGATCAACAGACCTGAGGCTTTGTTCCTAAGATTATTGGGTGCTGATCAGAACTTCATGAGCCTTAGGGCTTAATGCTTAAGAGAGGGGTCATGTAAGGGAGAAGGAAGCAGGTGAGTCAGGGTACTGGTGAGGCCAATTTGAATCAGCTGTCTGTCTCGGTGTCCCATTCCATTTGCCAAGGAATTTTCCTGGCTTCTTACTACAGGCAGTCCTCAGGTTACTTCGGACTCGACATACATCATTTCGTGGTTACATTGCCATTTCCCATTAAAAAAAAAAAAAAAAAAGTTCCATCATTTCAATGTATGACATGTGCTTCATGTTCTTTATTTTTTTAATTTATTGTTTAAAGTATTACATATCTTTTTCCCCCCCATAGACCTTCCCTCAGCCTCCCCTACCTCCTGTCACATGTCCTCATTCCCCCCACCGCCCCCCAAGTGTCTTATGTCCATTGGTGTGCTTATATGCATGCATACAAGTCCTTTGGTTGATCTCTTTCCCCCTGCCCCCCAACACTCCCCAACCTTCTCGCTGTAATATGACAGTCTGTTTGGTGCTTTACTGCCTTTGTATTTATCTTTTTGTTCATCGGGTTATAATGTTCTTTATTTTCCATAAATGAGTGAGATCATGTGGTATTTTTCTTTCATTGCCTGGCTTATTTCACTTAGCATAATGCTCTCCAGTTCCATCCATGCTACTGCAAATAGTAAGAATTCCTTTTTTATAGCAGCATAGTATTCCATTGTATAGATGTAACTTAGTTTTCTAATCCCCTCATCTGATGATGGGCATTTAGGCTGTTTCCAAATCTTAGCTATAGTGAATTCTGCTGCTATGAACATAGGGGTGCCTATATCCTTTCTGATTGGTGTTTGTTTTCTTAGGATATATTCCTAGAAGTGGGATTAATGGGTCAAATGGGAGTTCCATTTTTAGTTTTCTGAGGAAACTTTATACTGTTTTCCACTGTGGCTGCACCAATCTGCATTCCCACTAGCAGTGCACAAAGGTTCCTTTTTCTCCTCATCCTCGCCAGCACTTGTTTGTTGATGATAGCCATTCTGACAGGTGTGAGATGGTAACACATTGTCATTTTGATTTGCATCTCTGGGATTAGTGACTCTGAGCATGTTTTCATATGCCTCTTGGCCTTCCTTCTATCTTCTTTTGAAAAGATTCTATTTCCATTGCTCAGTCTTTATTATTTATTTACCCCAAGTAAAGGTCAGGCATTGTTATCTTTTAATTTCTTTTGACTGTTTGACTTCATTACTGACGTGTGTGTGCTCCCTGTGAGTGAGGTAAGTGCTTATGCAGGTGGGTTCTGACTTAACGGCGAAAATCGCATTCTGTGGCGCCGTAGGAACGGATCTCCAATGTAACCGGAGGACGCCCTGCATTCCGCCTCATGGGGCAGCAGGTTTACTACAGCTCTGAAGTAACATGGACAGATCTTTTTTTTTTTTTTTTAAAGGATACTCTGCTAACTTGAGCATTAAGCCATCATTGGCTGGCACTCCACTTTTTGCCCACCTAATACCTTTGTCACCCAAAGCCAGCTCACTGGATTCAGAAGAGAAAGATCCCTGAGGTTAGGATTGAATCCAACATGTTTCCAAAACTTTAAAAGCTGAGCCATGAAGGAAACTTGCGGAACACAAGTATGGACAGAGTTTTGATAAAATCTATGCTTGTGCATTTTTAAACAGTACATTTTTTTAGTTTAATTTTTTAGTGAAATGTTTGCTTTATTGAAATGTTTATTTGTAGATAATCATAAAACTTTTAAAGATAAATAATGCTGCTTTAGTCGGTTTTGCTCAGTGAATAGAACACTGGCCTGTGGACTGAAGGGCCCTAGGTTCGATTCCAGTCAAGTGTACGTACCTCAGTTGCAGGTTCCTCGCCCTTGTTGGGGACTTGTGGGAGGCAACCAATGATGTGTCTCTCACATCAGTGTTTCTGTCTGTTTCTCCCTCTCCCTTTACTTGCTATAAAAATCAATGGAAAAAATATCCTTGGGTGAGGATTGAAAAATAATAAACCAATCTCATTCCATCAGTGGCATTTATTGCAGAATTACATATTTTATTAGTCACTAGCTTATACCAGTTTATATTGACTATCAGCTTATAACTTCAGAATTGGATTATAAATAAAAGCATCAGCATTCAGTAAGCATGGAAAAGGTGAACATCTCTGCCATTTTCCCTTTAACGTGTACACGTTCACGTTGTTTTAGAAAAGAAATAATGTTGAACATTTCTTAATGTAGAAATGGGTTGGTACAGCAATAATATAACATTGCAGACACTTTTAAAATGTCTTCTGAAATTAAACTTGATTTTAAAACCCAAAAGAAAGTTTGATAGTGGCAATTTAAAAAATAATGAACATATGGATTTAATGTTGTCCTTTGTCTTATATGCAAGTCTAGAAGATAATGAAGTAAACAGTTTAATAATTGGACAGATTAGTCGTGCTAACCTTTTTACTGGAGAATTATTTAGGTACATATATGAACAAATTGAAAGATGGTACAACAGTAAATCATATGGACACAAAAAATCATTAGGCAGCTTGAGAACTTGGTAATAGTGGAGAATCTAAACTGAAATCCTGACCGCAGGAGTTGTAGATCCTGTAGGCAGGCATGAAGCTTTGAAATGCCTAAATAGCTTCAACATAGTTGGCTGGGAGCATGCCGGTCCTGCCGGTCCTCTGCACAGTGCCATACATCCAACCTTCATCGATGGCTTGAACATTCACTATAGCATCTCCATCCTTGAAGGACACCTCATCAGCATCAGCAGCCATGTAGTCGTACATGGCGCGGAAGATTTTCTATTTGTGAGGGTGGAAAGAAAAGGGGGAGACATGTTAGATTTGTTACAATTAACCCAAACTCTCAATTTTAAGGTCTCCTATGACTTACTCCATAAACTTAAGTTTCCCAAAAGAGGATATACAACCACCAACAAGGAAGTGAAAAGACTAGCAGAATATATTTGCAAATCATATATCTGATAAGGGATTACTATTCAAAATATCTAAAGAACTACAATTCAATACCACACACACACACACACACACACACACACACACACACACACAAAAAAGGTGGGAGCAAAGGATCTGAATTCTAAGAAAGTATACAAAGAACCATTAAGCACATGAAAATATGCACAACATCACTAGTCATAAGGGAATTGCAAATCAAAAAGAATGAAATACCACTTTTCACACACCAAAATGGTGAAGAGCAAAAAAGACAATAAAAGGTGATGGGGAAGATGTGGAGAAATTGGAACCTTTCTAAACTGCTTTTGGGAATGTAAAATGTGCAGTCATTTTGGAAAAACAGTTTTGGGAGTTCTTCCCAAGTTATATAGAGTTCCCATATAACCCAGCAATTCTGTTCCCAGGGTGTAGACCCAAAAGGAATAAAAACATATGTCCATCCAAAAACTTGTATACACTTACTAATTCACAACAGCATTACAACAGCCAAAGAAATTAAAACAACTCATGCCCACCAAGATGAATGAATTTTTTTAAAAGTGGTTATTTCCATACAATGTAATATTTGGCAATAAAAAGGAATAAAGTACTGATACCTGATACAACATGGATGATCTTCAAAACATTAAGTAAAAGTAGCCAGTCACAAAGATCTCTATTGTATGATTTCCTTTATATGAAATGTCAATAAGTACATAGAGGCAAATATATACAGACAGAAAGTACATTAGTGGATACACAGCATCAAATAGAGAATGGAGGGAAAGACCCAGGGATAAGGAGTGATTGCTGATGGATACAAGGGTATTTTTGGGGGTGATGAAATGTTCTATAATAAATTTGCATTATGGTCATGTTGAACAACTCTAAATGAACTAAAATCCAATGGAATTGTACATTTTTTTTTGGAATTGTACATTTTAAATGATGAACTTCCTAGTACGTTAATGTATTCAACATGGATGTGTGTCCATGTGAAATATGTGGACTTGTTTCTATGTGGACTTTTTTTTCTCTTTGGAGGAGGTCAAACTTGTGTTTTGTAGAAGAATGTGAAAAACTGTAACAATATTGCAGGTATCTCTCACTTTGGGAATTTGGGAGCATACCAGTAGTATGCTGATTTATAATTATTTTAGGGTTCATTTTTGGATTTTATCTTCTTTTAATTTTTTCCCTGTCACCATTTATTCCCCCTATACTGTCTTCCATCTCCATCTTCCACCCTCCCTGGACTTTATATTTTTCAAAAATCTATCCCCATGCTAAATCCATATTTAATTATGATGATTTAATTATGATAGCTTTGCATATGATTTCCTTTAACATGGTTAAGTCCTTTCCTATTGTCATTTTCAAAATTTACTTGGTTATTCTTGCATCTTTATTCTTTCAAATAAATTTTAGGTTTAACATACAATATTTAAAAAATGCTTTTGGGATTTTTATTGCCTTGAACTTATAGATTTATTTTAGGAGATATGACATCCTTATAAGATTCTCTTCTGAAATAAAATGGCTCTCAATATTTTTTTTAGATCTTCATTTACATCTTTTAATAGAGTTTTCTTCATACAAATATTCATTTCAACCCTAAATAATTATGTCTTTGTGCTATTATGAATAAGATCTAGGGTCTTAAATTGAGAGTTTTAAAGTAGCTTGGTGAATTGTGGACATGATTTGACTTAACTTTTCAATATATATATTAACAGGAGAAGTCTAAGGTAAGACATGTTCATGTGTGTGATGTGCATACAGACATACTGTATATTCTTGAAGAATGATTCCAAGCAGCATACATCTCAGTTTAAGTTAGTGGGTGGGACCAAAGAGCCCAAACTAATCATTTGCTTTGTTGTTGTTTTTTGTTTTGTTTTAAATCATTGGATTATGCTTTATAATTAATTCTAGTTTTATAATGAACGTTTTCTATGCAATTTCATAGATATTGCTATGAAACTGAGATGCGAAGTTAAAAAAAAAGTAGAAAGTTTGGTGCAAAAAGATCAGAATACCTATCATTATTTTTGTACTTACAAAAGGTAAGAAAGATTTGAGTAAGTTCTTTATTATTTACTTACTCCAGCTGTAGATGGGTGAGATGGGATAGAGGATACCGTTGTCTGTTGGGTGGCAACTGAAGATGATCGCTGTTGTGGGAGCTCTGTGGTTTTTGCGTGTTTGTAAGCTGAAAGGAAGGAGGAAATGGTTTATAATTAGAAATAGTTTATAAATCCAGACATCACTAAATCTATGTTCAGCTGCTGAACAGTGCTGGCTTTCCCCATAATTTAAAAATAATAAATTCCAAGAAAGGAGAAATGAAACATCTAACTCATGTGCCCCCGCCATAATTCTAGTCTTTTCTCATTAGAAGAAAGAATCCAGCCCTAGCCTGTTTGGCTCGGGGGACAGAGCATCAGACTGCAGACTGAAGGGCCCCAGGTTTGATTCTGATCAAGGTCTCATGCTCGGATTGCAGGCTCGCAGCCAATCAATGATTCTCTCTCATCATTGATGTTTCTATGTCTCCAACTCTGTTCCTATGTCAATAAAAATAAATTTTTTAAAAAAAACAAGATGAAGAAAGAACCCAGATTTATTTATTTGTTACTCAAAGCTTCTGTTACAGTAACTGCCAGTGAGCTGGCCGAACATGCTGTCAGAGTCAGCGCCACCCACTTGTACCTGTTGAGGTTGCGGAGAAGAAGATGCCACCATTGCTATAGGTGGACAGGTGGGCACCTTCTGAGTGCTCAGACTTCTCCTCGCCGCCACTGATGCTCAGAGCACTGGCTGATCGCGACTGTTCCCGGCTCCGGCGCTGAGCTTGGGCTGGGCAGGTGAGATTTAGAGAAGGAGCAGAGATGAAACATTGATGGCAGGAATCCCTAGCAGTATTTGAGTCTCCGTTGGTTTTTGTTTGTTTGTTACCAAGCATGGTCTTAAGTAGCTTTCCGTGGATGAAACCCCCAAAGCACTTATGATAGATAGTGTCATCCTCAGTTTCCAGAGAACAGTTTAATAGCCAAAAGGCAGGTACAGCCAGGCTGGCAATCCCAGAGTCTGACCCTGAGACTGCTCCTTCCCTCCATCAGCCCATTTTCCTGCCTCACCAAAGTGAACACATGGTCATGCTCACATTCACACGCCAACTGTGCCTTCTCCAGAAAGTTCTCCCTCACTTCCAAGTCACTTTAGATGCCTTTTCTATGTATTCCGACCTTTCAAACTATACTGTCAGGGAATAACTACTGGTTTACTCTCTCTCTTCATTAGTAATCTAGAGTGTAAATCCTTTGAGGACGGGCACTACATGCTATTTGACTTTTTAACATGAATAGAAGGCATAAAGGCATGCGAGTGACCTCTTTAATTGAATGACTAATCTTTGACATAAGACAGTTCAGAAAGTTGCTAAAGGTCAAATCCATTCTTCCCTTTGCCTATGTATTTCCCCCCCATTATTTCTCTAATAGAAAGACTTACACTGAGGGAGACTTACACTGAGGCAGTGAAACTTGACTAGATATGAGTTTGGTCCAATAATCAGGTATTTTTATGCTGAATGGGAAACTCAGGAAATTGAAAACCCTCGAGGAAAGGAACTTCAGAAAGTCATTGACGCCCACGAACTGGTGACATTTTTGTTGTGACCCTTTTGTGGCATAACGTACCATTAATCATGTGTAAGCTTCGGGACTGAATGTTGTCTTCTGCTGGGTCATAGTCAAAAACTGAGCCAGGATTAGTTCGCCAGACACGTAAACCTGAAAGTGAGATGAAGGGTCAGAGCAGATGTTCTTGGACTCTCTCAATGACGTAGAGAGCTAGGCATGAACTTAATCATAGGAGGATTGGTTTAGCTTAGGTTCTAGTGACTCCTCGGAGGAGGAGATTGAAGCATAAATAAGAGAGGTCAGGCTTGCAAGTCATGAAATAATACAGGTTTTCTTTCACACCTAATGAAACACAAACTGAGGTCCTTTATCCTTTGCCTCGCTATAGATAATTCACTTCTGTTACTCTACCCCCTTACCTTCAAGTCCATTTCCCCACTATGGCTCAGTCACCTGTGATAGTCTCCTGATCCTGGTCATTCCGTTTCTGTTCCATTTGCACCACTTTCCTCTGAATCCCTCTGTAGTTAATGTCGCTGAAGTCCTGCGTGTTCTTCTTCACTCGTTCAGTGATAGGGTCTGTCACCACCGGCGTGAAGCAGCCCTTGTGCTTCTCGAAGTCTTCATGGTATTTCACCTGAAAGTTCACGAATTCGTTTTGTGAAAACATGATGGTGAGTCATTTCATTTCCCCCGTGTGCCCACAGGCTGGCCAACCCATTCCTGAGAGTGCCCGACTCACGGTTGAGATGTGGCGTTGGGTCTCTCTCACCCGTCTCATCTCTGGGGTGTCCAAGACATAGGCAGCTTTGCCTTGTATTTGTTTCCGGAAGCTATCCGAATAAAGAACCTGGCGAAGGAGGAAAAAACGAATGAGCACAGATCATGGTGCTATCCTCACTCTGAAGCTTCCAACCCTCTCCAACAGGTGGGGGTGGAAGGAGCTGGGAGGAGGGGGCAGGGGGTGAGTTTGAGTCCGAAGGACCCAGCAAGACCCCTGAGTAACATGGAGCAGGTTAGCATGAGGGTGGCTGGGCAGGGCTCGCATCCAGGAGGATCTATTTTGACTTTGAAAATGTAACTTTCATTTTCAAAGGAGAAGAGGCACAGTATAATTTTGAAGGGAAAAGGAAGTGTTCTCTTGAATTTGCTGGGAACTGTAGCACCAGCATGTCTGATGGTATTTGGTGCTAAATGTGCTAATGGCATTTGAAAGAACTAATCTTCAAAACAAGTAATCGAGATTGGTTTTTGTTTGTTTTTTTAGATTTATGTCAAGATTTTATCGTATAAACCCATATGCAAATACAAAAATCAAAGTCCTCCAGACACGAAACACTCAAAACATCAAAACCAGAGAAGGCATCCATTTCAGAGTATTACTTGTTTCCTAGGGTACCTTAAAAGGAAAGGAAGGCTGGCGGGGTTAGGAAGTCAATTTGTTACAGGCGGGTACATAAAACTACCTCAGAGGAACGTAAAGGGAGCGAGAAAACTTGTTACGTCTTAGCACGACCATTTGGAATTTAAAAGCACAGTTGTGTTAATTTCAGTGTAAATTTTCAGTGGAATAAGGAAGTGCACATTTTTATGAAGTTAAAATGTTATTGTCCAAGTTGTTGCATTCCCTCCCACCCACCCCCGTTTTTTGTTTTTGTTTTTTTTTTAATCCTAGAAAATACCGAGCTAATGTTTTCTTGGTTGCGCTTAGCTCTCTCCATCTCTGGAGTGACAGGTGTCGGAGTTGCTTTTCTCATGTTTTCTTTGTACAATACCTAGAGGGGCCAAGAGAGTATCCAGGCATGAGAGAGCAGAAAACCATTCCTGAAAGCCATCAGCTAGCTGGTGTTATGGTTCAATTATATCACACTCGATGAGAAACACCTCAGAAAGATGAAGCCATTAAAATGTTACTGAATAAAGCACAAGGTGGAGTTTGGGCTGGAGGGGTTGGTTGGTTGGTTGGTTGTTTTTAAGTAGGTAAAGAAGAATTTTAATGGATAAACAAAAGTCTGGGAACACAGTGAGATAAATTAGTGGTATAACCCATCCTGGCCAGGCTTGTTAAAAAGTGTAGCAATTTTCTTTTTTCCTCTCTGAAATACCGAGCTAAAGTTTTCTTGATTGCGTTTGACTCTTTCCATCTCAGGAGTGAAAGGTGTGGGGGTCGCTTTCCCCAGGTTGTCTTTGTATAGCACCTGTGAGATACAAAGTTGTACCCGAAAGTCAGGAGGAGGCAATTTTCAGGCTATTACACATAATGCAATTGGGGTGAGCAAATCCCGTGTTTAATCGATTATTATTAGTGAGGACAGCTCTCGAGAAGAAAGCTGAAAGCCAGTTAATGGCTAAGTGTAGTGTGTCATTTAGAGAAGGTTCTAGAAAACGGGCATGTGGTTTGTTTTTTAACCTGGGATGGAGTTAGGAGCAGGCCAAACCGCAGGGGTTACTTTGCAAAAGTAAAAGCACTTTCTCAAGACAATACCGAGCTAATGTTCTCTTGATTGCGTTTGACTCTCTGCATCTCTGGAGTGACAGGGGTTGGGGTGGCTTTCCCCATATTTTCTTTGTACAAAACCTACATGAGTCCAATGGATCCAAAAAGGCAAAAAGAAGAGGAAGAAGAAAAAAAGAAAAAAAGAATTACAGTCACCAAAGGATTAAACAGAACAGGAAACTCAAGAGGCTCAGGGTGCCAAACCATTTGGGCAGTGAGGTTAGACAGGAATATACTTCCAAAGGAAGTTGGCGTAGTTAACAGCAAGACACACGTTTCCAGGGCGGGACCCTGCGCTGACATCCTTGCAGCCTACGCCCCCTTCCCCCTGCCCTGGTCCATGAATTTCCAGCACCTGCGAGGTCCCCTAAACAGCACTGGGGGGCCAGGGCTGAAATGCCAATGAGAAGGGGGAGGCTGCTCCAGATTTCATAGTGAGGAACCTCACCTTTTTGCAGGACTTAAACTCAGATGGACACCTCAGTAAAACCGTGGGTCCTTAAACAAGCAAAAGCTATCTCCTCTCTTTCCTCCTCGCTATCATGGTGTTGTGCCTCTTGCTTCAGTTTACTACAACATCCAACTTCTCAGCAATGATGTCACTGAATGGTAAGTCAACTAAACATATGGTAACACATCATGACAAATCCTCAACCTCGACGTCTCCCCTCAGTGTTATTCTTGGGGACTTGGGAGGTTTTGGAAATGCCACGCTAGAGGAAGACTTCCATTAAGGTGGTGGTTCTCAAAGTGGGGTCCCTGGGCAGCAAGGTCAGCAGCATCAGAGGACTTGCTAGAAAGGCACCTTTTCTGGCCCCACACCAGACCTACAGAATGAGAAACAGTGGGGGCGGGACCCCGCAGTCCGGTTTAACAAACCCTCCAGGGGATGCTGGCACACAACTATTGTAGAAACCGGTAGACAGTGCTCATGTGGAGGCCACAGCATTCTTCACTACGTAAGCTAGTGTCATCTCGACACAAACCCAACCCCGGTCATGTATCAACATACAGAACATTGCAGAGCACAGGCTTACAGGAAATGGCTTACTAAGTTAGCAGTTAAAGATCACGAAGAAGACAAAAAGAACTCAAATTGGTAAAACAAAAGTCAGTTCTAGTGACACTTTCCTTTTTAATTAATAACCATTTGCCAAAACCACTACTGAATCTTCATTTGACCTTATTTCTGAAGAAGAGGATGGGGATTATTTTTCCCAAGGTCTCTTTGTCTAAATCTGACAGGGTAGATTAGAACCTCAAGTCATAGGCACAAAAACATACACTCCCTCCATTCCACCACCATCCCCCCACCACCCCCCCCCCCCCCCCCCCCGCCAACTCCAATGTACCACAAAGCCCTTTCCAACGACTGTGCTGCCTCCCAAATTTCACAAATTTCACAAATATAGAAAACAAAGAGACCTTGGGGGTAGTGACTAGAGAGTAAGTTTGGGGAGAGATGAGCAAAACAATATTTTATTGGAAAATCCATTACTTCCTGATATTAGGATTTTAAATTGTGGATTAAAGCAATCTTGTTATTACGGGGTTAAGGCTAAGGTAGCCCTATAGGGAAAAGGGATAAATGTGATAAAAAAAAAAAATTTCACAAAATTTAAGTTGTCTTTAAAAAGGAGGATTAATACGTATTATTTTAAATCACTTTTAAGTAGTAGTAGTTTTTTTGTTTTGTTTTGTTTTTTCTTTTCTTGCCAAAGTACCGTGCTAATATTTTCTTGATTGTGTTTGACTCTCTCCATCTCTGGAGTGACAGGCAAAGGGGTTCCCTTGCCCATGTTTTCCTTGTATAGCACCTGTGTGATGAGAAAGCATCCAGAAAACAACCATAAGTACCATTTCGTTTGTTGTGAGATTTTAAGGGTGAGTTCAGCTGCCTTGTTGCCAAGTTACACCGTAGTCTAAGAAGCTAGGAGTTATACACGGACCAGATGCCACAAGCTACTTTAATGGCAGCCATTCTTGGGATCAGAAAACACTCGCTAGGACGCCAAGGACCTCAGCCGCAGTGGGTAAGGCTGTGGGAGTTATCCATGTTATTTTTTCATTTCTATGAGCACAGTACCTCCTAAAGGATCCTAAGATGGTTAAAACTCAGTTTTGTTGTTATCCAAGCAAACGAAAAGGTAAGATGGTTTTAAAAATACAAATATTTTAAAATACCAAGTGGCGGAGAAATCAGGATTAACTGAAAAATTAAAAATCGCGTTGATAGTAGTATAAAAATGCAAGCGTTGTATGTATGTCCTTTTGCTAAGTGAGGTATATTAGAAGCAAAGGAAAGGAAATCAGTTTCCAAAAAGAATAAATGTTTAGTATCAATTCAATTATGAGGTTAAATGGCATCTTTTTTTCCCTTTCTGTCCAAAATACCGAGCTAATGTTTTCTTGATTTTGTTTGACTCTCTGCATCTCAGGAGTGATGGAGACGGGAATTCCTGTTCCCACGTTTTCTTTGTATAGCACCTGTATGATAAAAAGCATCCAGAACAAAGAGAGCCATCAACCACTTGGCTCCTCTGTTGGAGCCGTTGGGAACAAAAGGAAGAGCAGTGAGTTAGAGGAAGGGAAATCCCACAAGCCTCTAGATCCAACCTGTATGAGCCTAGAGTCATCTTTAAAGCCAGGGAATGCAGGAAAGAGCAGTGAACACTAGGAGATGGGGAAGGAAAGTTTTATAATTGGTGTTGTTGGAACTAATCTCTGCAGCAGTGAGCAACGGAGAGCACAGGGAATGATCAGCTCTTCTCAGCTTGTTATGAGGAGCAGGGCAATTAAAAGGGCAAGAGACAGAAAGAGAACCAAGGAAGTTATTCTTGATTTGGAAATGTTATTAACAAAACACATAAGGATATTTGGGTTTTATAAACAAATATGAAGATTCGTATACACACATCTTCTTTTGTTGACTTTCAAAAGAAGTCCAAGTTTTTAATTTTTAGTTTGGGTGAACATATTGGGGAAAATTAATCCTTTTAAAGGCAAATAGAGAGTAATACCAAAATGTCAAAAAAACAAACAAAACCCACCACACAAACAAAAACAAACACACAAACAAACAAAAAACACCTTGAAAAAGTCTGTACAAATACCAGTAGGCACAGAGGATAGAATAGGAAATGAGGCCAACTGCCTGACAGATGCAGGATAAAGGTTTGTAAGCTTCTGTTCAGATCAAATTGGCAAAGCAGGGTAAATATGGGTGCTTAGGCATTGAGAATGTTATGCTTTTAAAAGCTGGGCTGTAATACTGAACACTTTTTTAAAAAGTCAAATGATTATATTAATGTTTAACCAAAATGGGGAAACAAATTCATAGGAAATGGCAGCATTAAGTTGCGAACAAGACATGTCAAAGTTTTTATTGGGATAAGCTGATTAGATTTTAAAATATAGCTATTAATCTTTTAAAAATGTTTTAAAAAAATAGTTAAGGGATTTTTTTTTTTTCCTTTTAAATACCGAACTAAAGTTTTCTTGATTGTGTTTGACTCTCTCCATCTCTGGAGTGATGGGAATCGGGATCCCCTTCCCGAGGTTCTCTTTATACAACACCTGCATGACACAAGAAAGCATCCAGAAAAACAAGAGCAGTCAGCACAGCCCTTCCCGCTCTGTCTTCCAGGGAACCGAATAGGAGGTTGTGACCTCAGACAAGAAAGACAACTTCAGCCTGTCTTTCCAAGCACGGATCTGGAGGACAACATGCACCATGGATCCATAGCTGCAGTGCCAGTAGTATCCGATATTCAGCATTTAGTCTAACTCATAATTCAATGTTTGTTTTCTGTATCAAGAAGTAATTAAAAAGATACAAATGCTAATTTCATAAGAGCACTAAAATGCTTAGTGTACAACAGGGAGATTATCTTTCAATTAGATTGGCAAATATTTCTTTTTCCTGTTCAGAACATCTGTATTAGATTGGCAAATATTCATTTTTCCTATACAGAATATCTTACAGAAGAACAGATATTCAAAACGCCAGGCCAAATCTATGCAGTATGGCGAAATTGGTTTTTGCTAAGTAATTTCAAATGATGGAGGTGGTCCAGTCTACAAGCCAAGGTTTTAATAAATACACAGCACTGTTTATTTTCCATGGTGTCATAAAGGTTCTGTGCACCACTGGACAACGTGGCCTGAATGCAGCTTGTGTAATAATTAACACAAAGGGTTACTTAGAAAAGCACCTGCATAAGAGCCTGTCTAGGATCATTGAAGTCATCAAAATCTTAAACAGATATAAATAATAATATACTTACTCTAATATAGAAGAAAATAATTTTGAAAAATTAATGCAAACCTTTGTAAAAGAAGGAATAAGAATAATAAACCCACAAGGAAAACAGTGATGGTAACATTCCAAAAGTAGTATTAGTTGACATTTAAAATTTAAACGAAATCAAAAGATTGTTAGTGAAGAGTGATTAAAAACAAAGAGAAACAAAACAAAAACACGTAGATACTAATAAGAGTGATCACTTTATAAGTTATATAAATGTCTAATCACTATGTTGTATACCTGAAACTAACAGGTGTACTGTATGTCAACTGTAACTGAAAAATTAACAAATATTATTAGAAAAAGACAATGGGACCAAAGAAAGTTACTGATCTAATTATGTGAAAGAATCAATCTTTGAGAAAAATATTTAAACAATTAAAAACCATTTTGGTGCTCTATTGGTATGGCTCAGTAGTTGAATGTCAATCTATGAACCAGGAGGTCACGGTTCAATTCCTAGTCAGGGGTTGATCTCCAATAGGGAGCGTTCAGAAGGCAGCCGATCAATGGTTCTTTCTCATAATAGATATTTTTTTCTCTCTCTCTCCATTTCCCTTCCTCTCTGAAATCAAAAAGACATTAAAAAACCACACATAAAAAAACACATTTTGGATCAAACCTTCTCCCATCTTCCCCTCTCCCAGAAAAGTTCAGCTACATTTTCCTAATAACATTTGATTAGATCTGATTCAGATTTTAGATTTGAATCTAAGATCCTTATATAGATGTCTCACAGACCCTTTGAGGATTGTAGAAATTTTCAGCAATAATAATTCAAGATAAAATAACAATAAATAAGAGCTTATGGTCTGATTTGTGTATTAAAAATAAATCAGAAGGTTGGGATTTTTATTCATGGAATGGCTTGTTTAGAACAAGTATCAAGATGAGATTACTTTGGGTTCTGATACTGAGCCATTTCCTTTCTTGGACTGCTGTTTCTCCAGATACGACCTACATTAAGGTAACTTCTGTTCTAAGCGAGAGTTTTTTTTGTGTGTGTGTGTGTGTTTTTTTTACATGGGGCCTCAATCCTGTGTCTTTTCTTGTGATGCCAATCCAGAAATGTTGAATAAAAAGAGTTCCAAGTAAATAATAACGACAGTGTTGGGGAATTTTTTGGACATCAATTAACTTCAAAAGTCCCAGTAGTAACATAACAGGTGAAAAGATAAGGAAAGGAACCAATTAAAAGTTTTAAGGGACTAGTGTAGAAAACAAAAAACATTAGAATCAAATGTTGGTTAAAGAAGGATTCAGTTGATGAGATTTAGGAAGAGAATTTGTTAAACAAAGAATTTTAAAAGGACTCGTAATAAGTTTGGATTGATAGGAAGTTAATTATTATTTTTTTAAATATGGAGTTAAAGGAGCTTTCTGCCAAATACCGAGCTAAAGTTTTCTTGATTGCGTTTGACTCTCTCCATCTCAGGAGTGACAGGTATGGGGGTCCCCTTGTTCAAATTCTCTTTGTACAAAATCTGTGTGCACAAAAGCAACAATCAGATCAGCCTGGAGCCATCATTTAGGTAGACATAATCTCTAAAATAGTCTCTGAAAGTGTTTTTGTTTATTTTCATAATTATGTAAAAGAGACCTAAATAACTTTAAGAAATAGATCGATAGGCCACCTTTGGACGTTTAGTCAGACAGCACAATATCTGCCTCTAAGTGGCATTAACACAGGCAGAGCTGCCAGCGTGCAGGCAGGAGTCACTTACACAGGCCTTCTCTCAAAGACAGAGGAAGAGGCCTTACCAAATAGCAGTCAAGTTCATTGAAATTAATATCTATAATGAGCTGTTGGTAACTCTAAATTAGGGAATGAGAGATGATAGATAGATAGATAGATGATAGATTTGAAGAATAAAATAAATATTAAAAGCTAAATAAATAGTAGCTTTCAATGTTTTTGAAACTATGCCAAAGGAAAACTCAGTTATATCTTGCATGGTATACAAAAACACCTAAATCAAGTAAACTTGTATTTCTGAGTTACTAAAAACTGCTGCGTTGCCTTTTGAATGAAAATGTTTAGGAATCACATATTTTAAAGAAAAGCTGCAACCACAAAATATACATCAAACAGAGCCACAGTAAATACCACTAATATTCTAATTAACATTGACCTTTTATCGGGATGTTAGATTTTACTTTTGACGTGTGCCACACCAGTTAGAAACACCTATTGTTATATCTGAGGAAGGAAACACTGAGTATTACAGAGATTTTAGGGAAGTGATCAATACTACGTTTTAGGGAAAACAGTTAAAATTTCACACCAGAACTAAAGTAAATACTACATTAGATTTAGATTTAAAAACTAAAGTCATATTTGGTATTATTTTTATATAAATTTAGTAATTTTATAGGCAGAAAAATCAGATGTTTGTAATATGTTAAAATATTATTTTAAATAAGAGTTAAGGGGTTTTATTTTTGTCCCCTAAGAAATACCGAGCTAACGTTCTCTTGATTGCGTTTGACTCTCTCCATCTCTGGAGTGATAGGTGTTGGGGTTCCTGTCCCCAAATTTTCTTTGTACAAAACCTGTGAGATACAAAAAAGTACCCAGAAGACATTCAAAGCAAGCATGAGGATTAAGGAAGGGAGAAATTTAAAACAAGAGAATGTGAGGGAGGTTATTTTAGTGAATAATATTTAGTAAGGATAGTGCTTTTACTTCACCATTTTAATGATTTCCACAATGCTAACTCTCAGAATAAAAAAAGTACAGTGGAAAGCACTGAGCTTAAGATATGAGTAGAGTGAATGAGGAATTGTTTGTTAATTTTACTTACAGTATTTCACATCTAAGTACTCACACTTGTCAGTGGTTAAAGTACCATCAGGAAGGGGAGTCACTGTGTGTGAGTCCCAATGGTTTGGGTCGGGTAATAACACACACACACCCGTACACACACAGACATAAATACACACAGAACCATTGTTAAGATGTTACTCTTTAAAAAAAGGATGATGGGTTATTCTGGTAAATTTTTTTTAATGGGAAATAGGGTTTCTTATTTGATATATGTATAAATACCGAGCTAAAGTTCTCTTGATTGCGTTTGACTCTCTCAATCTCTGGAGTGACAGAGGTTGGAATGCCTGTTCCCAAGTTTTCTTTGTACATAACCTGCAGGAGATAATTAGAATACCCAGAAAGGTAAAGTGACCGCGGGTCGTTTGTATTACAGCTACACGTGTGCTTTTGGTGGAAACTCATAAAAACAGTCTTGCTTTCAAATATGACACCCAAGGAATAAAAGGAGAAGAAATTCCACAAGTACTTACGTTCTCTCTTCAAAAGTAGTAATTTTACTACTTTAAAAACGAGCATTAAATGGCGCAGTTTGTATAGTCAGCACTTAAGAGATTCCTTAAGTGCACTAACTAGTAACAATGCTTTCAGCAATGAAAAAATCTCTCCAGTTGGTAACATCTTGTATTAGTACCTTTCATATAGCAGGTCCATGAAAAATCTATTTTACTTAATAAATAGGTAGCTTGGTTTAAAAATGTCTAATTGCATGATAGTGTATTCTTGCAGGGTCATTGAGAATTTTATGTTTGTTTTTCATTTTCTACTGAATACTCCTAGCTGGCCCTAGTCTGTGGGTACTTCTAATGTGAGGAGACTGAAGCAGTTTATTTTTTTAGGAAGAGCATCTTCCTGAAAAAGGTGGTTGTCGAATCACTTAAACTGGTGCTTTGCTAACAGGTAAGTCCTTATTGTTAGGGTTTATATCAGAGGACGGGACACTGTCAGGAAGAGTGAGGAGCTTCCTGAACCTCTAGCCACCTTTCCTCTGAATGCTAGGCATTCTCAGCCTAAAGGAATGAATGAACTCATGTTAAATGGACGGATTCTATGATGTACTAGCATCCTGTCTGCCAGCCACATGAAAAATCTAGGGGTGTGTGTCACAGATGAATTCCTAAAATCACTGACCCACTGGTGTTGATATCTTTGTTTCACTAGGAAACTTTTAGGGATATTGAAAGTCTACCATGTTGGTACAAAATGTTGTTTCTTTACCCAGCAAGGCAGCATAACTGACCATGGGCAGCAGAACAAAATAAAACCAGAGAGACAGGAACTTGCATGAAAAGTGACCAAGAAGCTATGGGCCAGTTTTCTTGGATTACTGAAACTTCACAAAACCCCAAGTGAAACTGGAGCCACCAGGAGGCCAGGGTGTAGGCAGGGCGTGAGAGGGAATGACATCTAAATAATATGAACGTCACGCAGGAGAAAGATCAAGTGTCTTCTAACCTATTTGTCCTGAGCTTCCTATCAGCCACTGCAAAGGGGAAAACTGATCAGGTGCACAATTTATAGTATCTTTAATATCAAAGAAATGAGGTGCTCAAGAGAAGTACACTGAGTGGCCAGATTATTATGCGTTCAGAGATCATAATAATCTGGCCACTCGGTGTATATGCTTTTGGTTACTAACTTGAGGTCGTCCAATAACCATATTGGTCCTGTTGGCACATTCACTTTAAAAATTGCACATGTGATGATTCATCAAGAAACCAAGTCCCTCCTGCTCGCTGATCATGTGAAGACAGAGGTTTCTTATCCACTCCTCTCAGGACCGGGGGAGCGTTCACACCCTCCCCAAGACATGGGAAGCCCTTGGTAGGTGGAAGAAGGGGTGAGATGGAGCGAGGGAGCGACTGGGACGGGGCTGGTGGCACAAACCCATGCGTAGCAAGCATATGGGCTACTACCGAGCTAATGTGCTTCTGCGTCTCCTTGACACGTTTCACTTCCGGCAGGTCAGGGATCGGGGTTCCTTGTCCAATTGCTTCCTTATACTTCACCTGCAGACATGAAAGGGGGGACATGTGCGGTGTGTTTGATTAGCAGTCCCACATGTTTAAAATCACAATTAAGTAGCAGGAGTTCTCCACTTAGTTTGAATGGGGCCTGTTCTGAACTGGGTCAGAGGAGAGCAAAGCCAAGGACAAGGACACTTGGCCGCTCTCTTGTCTCATTAGGGGTGGGGCTCCGGATTAAATCTTTGACTATTTTGTTTTTGACATATTTTGTTTTCTGACAAGTGACAGGGTCTCTCCTTAACCAAACTTTGGTCAGATTCCTCTCCGTCTTCGTCCTAAATAAACCTTGACTTTTGGACTTCAGCATCCATCTTTGCATTGTCCAATTTTGGCAAAAATCCTGACAGCATCATCCACCCTGGCTATCTGGTCCCCCTGGCTATATGACCAAGTTCCTTGCCCCACCATCCCACAGGTGCAGCCTGATTACACCCTCCCCCCTCCCACCGGCCTCCAGCAAGGGTGTGGTTAGCGGGTTTAGGTAGCCACAAGCCTCCTTACCCCAGAACCTAGGGCCCAGGTGTTTTCTCTGAGTAATTTCCACCCAGTGATCCTCTGCTTGCCCACCCCACTGCCCAGCTACAAATTCCCACTTTTCCTTGTGGTATTTGAAATGGAGCCCAGTTCTGTGCTGAGATCTCTTTCCCCTACAGTGCAGTGGTCCTTAATAAAATGTTTTTACCATGTTACCATCCAGCCCCAGTTTGCTCTGACACAGGCCTCTCCGTCTTCCATATCTGCCCTCCGCTCCCAAAAACTGCCCGGTGCTGCCCTGACTATGAGGCCACCCTAACTGATCTGAGCAACTTAAGCTCCTTCCAGTGACAAGAGTTTTGACTGCAGCTCAGACACCATGTAAATGGTCTAAAGGAGGCAGGAAATACCAAAAGCAAGTCCACCGGCGTCCTTACCGAGCTAATGTGGTCCTGTGTTTGCTTCACTCTCATCATCTCGGGTGTCTTTCCAATCGCTGTTCCTGGTGAGAGGTCCTCTTTGTATAAAACCTGGACATTCAGAATCAGGACAGTGTTACACAGAGGAGAGGGAAAGGGGGGTTACCGGAAAGGGTCTAGGGAACTTGGCTTCTGTGAAATCAAAAGCCACTGGAGGAAGTTCTTAGGCAAGTGCCCGAGTACCTGACGGCTTCCACATCAGCGCCAGTCACTCCCACATGCAATAATGGACCCCTTTCCAGATTTTGAGGTTTCTTTTAAGATGATCATTTCATATTTATAAGGAATGAGGAAAGCCAGGAAATATTGGTTAAAAAAACTTGTATGAAATACAAAATTCATGAAAGAAATGTGAAGTTGGTTGGTTATTTGGGGGAGGGATAAGAAAAGAAATCATCTATGGAATACTACGCTGCTGTAAAAAGGAAGGAACTCCTACCAGTCACAACAGCATGAATGAACCTGGAGAGCATTATGCTAAGTGAAATAAGCCAGCTGGAGAAAGATAAATATCACATGATCTCACTCATTTGTGGAATATAATGAACAGCAAAAACTGATGAACAAAAATAGATCCAGAGACAGAGAAGCATCGAACAGACCATCAAACCTCAGAGGCAAGGCAGGGGAGGGTGGGGATGAGGGGGAGAGATCAACCAAAGGACTTGTATGCATGCATATAAGCCTAACCAATGAATACAGACACCAGGGGTTGAGGGCATGAGTAGGAGTTGTGGGGGCAATGGGGAATAAGGACACATATGTAATATCTTAATCAAAAAGAATAAAAGAAAAGAAAAAAGAAAGAAATCACAATGTTCAAAAGAACTCCTTCCTCCTGGACCAAGACTACACAGTTACTGGGATTTAAAAAACTTCAAGAGCCCTAGCTGGTTTGGCTCAGTGGATAGAGCAACAGCCTGAAGACTGAAGGATCCCAGGTTTGATTCTGGGTTGTGGGCTCAATTCTCCAGTGTGGGGTGTGTAGAAGGCAGCCAATCAATGATCCTAACTGATGTTTCTGTCTTTCTCCCTCTCTCCCTTTCTCTCTGAAATCAATAAAAATATATTTTTAAAAATTTAAAGAAAGAAAGGTGACTGTGTTAGCAAATTTAAATTGTTATGCAAATGGTATGTGGAATGATGGTTTTACAGCAAAGTATGGAGAATGTAAAACAACTGCTGGTATTAACTGGGGAGGTTAGATGTTAATTGTCAAGCTAGTATATTTTCAGAGTATGAGATTATCAGATTATCAGAATTGAATGAAAAATAAAGAGCAAATATACCGAGCTGAAATTCTTTTGATTTTCTTTCACACGCAGTATTTCTGGGGTGTCTTGAACAACTGTAATTTTTCCCTTGCTATTTTTAAGGTCACACTGGTATTGGAGCTATGAAGAAAGAGTAAACATTTTGTTAAGAGTTCAGCATTGTTTCATATATCTTTAATTGTCCTATATTGTGTGAAGGAAGTGAAAATCCTGTGTTTAAAGAAATGTCTATGCCACAATAATCACCATCTGATAGCCAAAGGAAAATTCTTTAATACAAATTTATGGAGAGGTTAATTTTTAAAAACCGTAAGACTTGTAACATGTCAAATTAGGATGTATTTTTTTTAAAATGTACACCTTACCTAGAATTAACTGTGGAAAAAACAGATGTTGCCACTCATACAAACGATGATAGTTCATATTCAGTGACAGGAGATCACCAACAAAGTGACAGATGGGTCTGTCATGCTTTGATGGGGCGTGAAGCAGAGGTGAGTGGAGAAGAGAGGGTGGGAGCTGTGGGGCTGCAGGGGTGATGCCCACTGTGTGTGCCCAGGGGCAGCCTCCTTGCCCTGCCTCCACCCGTGGGCTGTGTTGTAGATTTAAGAAAAACTTACAAGGCTGAAGTTCTTTTGGTTCTCTCGAACTCTCTGCATCTCCGGGGTGTCCAAAACCGTTTCATAAGAGGACATGCCCTTCTCTGCATCTTCCTTGTACTTTTTCTGGGAATAGATTTAAAAAATCAGGATGGGGAACACCACAGGGAGATGGTCTAGTGAGACCTAAAATAGCCCATTCTGCTCCGCAGATGGGAAGTCCTTCGAGTTTTCCTGAGAGTTCAAGGAGGTTAGGGAGTTACAGAGCAGAGCTCCCTTCATGAGTAGCACGGGCCTTTTCTTCCCTGGAAGACCCAGCCCAGGTATTAAGTAGGCCCCACCGACGGGCAGAGCTGGCAGAGAAAGGCACCTTTTGGCTGGCCCATTGGAAGGAGGTGACCTTGTGCCTGGGTCCTGGTGGGAGATGGGGATGCCTACAGTGACCTGGATTGTCTCATTTAATTTGTTGTAATTATGATGCAAAAATCTAAACTTTGATTCAAACTTGCATCATAGATAAATCCCATCTCTTTTATTGGGCAAGATTGTGATTTGAAAGGACTTCCTTAAGAATAAATGCAGCCGAAACCGGTTTGGCTCAGTGGATAGAGCATCGGCTTGGGGACTGAAAGGTCCCAGGTTCGATTCCGGTCAAAGGCATGTACATGGGTTGCAGGCACATCCCCAGTAGGGGGTGTGCAGGAGGCATCTGAGTAGATGTTTCTCTCTCATCTATTCCTCTCTCTTCCTCCCTGTGAAAAATCAATAAAATATTTTAAAGAAAAAGAATAAATGCAAAGATTTTGTACTTCATGATTGGGGTCAATCAGTGATATCCTGATGAATGTCCTTACCTGGCTGGAAAGGTTTTTGACTTGTTGGGCATGAATGATCTCAGGTGTATCAACCACAGAAGTGAAATTGGCTTTTTCCATTTCTGCTGAATGCTTGTACTTAATCTGCAAAAGAATACCCAATAATTGAGTAAATGTTTACAATGTGCACAATGCTTGTTGGTTTAATTTGATTAAGAGGTGATCAATATTTCTTTCCCCCAAAATTCATTTATTTGACAATCAACAAACATTTTCCCTATTATATTTACAGCTTTACACTGAAGAGTGAAATTCAGAAAGAATGAGATCTAGCTGTTGAGAGACTCTCTAGTTGGGCATGGGAAACAGAAGAGGAGGAGGAGAGGAGTAATAGGAAATGAGGGAGATAATCAGCAGACAGTAAGGCATGGATTGTTTATAAACACAAGTAAGCAAAAGACCCAAACCAATCACTGTGAGACACTGTGGGAATGCCTAAAAACTGTGTTTTAAATGTAGGCCTTGAAAGGAGGGGAAAAAAGGACTCCAAAAATATTCTAAGCAAGGAATTCCTGATGCCAGTAGAGGAATGTAATGCCTAAGAAACAAGGCCAGGATGACAGAGAGTCTATACCATTTCCAAGCAGCTATTTGGTTCCCCAATCTCCGCTCTTTGCACTGAATGTCTCCTGTGCCTTTCTTTCATCAGAAAGGCAGATGGAAGTAGGCCTAGCAAAGGGTCCTTGATTCTTTTATAGATGGATTCATCAGACAGATATTTAAGAATGATACTATATGCATTTCCCGGTCATTGACCAACAAGTTAGAAAATAGAAGGACAATCTGTGTCCTTATAATCACAGTCACATTTTTTTTTTTTTTTTTTTTTTTTTTTTTTTAAGAATGACATGCAACAGGGACACTAACCTGACTGGCAATATCAGTAGCGTTCTTGGCCCTCATGAAGTCAGGAGTCTCATTGGCCATGGCGTTCAGGCCTTTTCCTTTGACTCCCAGCTCCAGGTCTCTCTTATATTCTTTCTATAGTACCATTATAAAAAAAAAAGTTTCCTTACTCCCATGATTAAATAAAAAATGTGCAGAGTGAATATAAATCCACATAACATGTGACCTTAGTTGCTAGTGTTCATCCTTCCCTATGGTAGGATGCAGTGGTGACCACCAAAATTCACCTTAAGGCCTCTTTTTGAACACTTCAGCATCCTTTATTTAGAAAATTAATTATAAAGCAAATTTTAAATCTGGTTTGGTAACAATTTGGACTAAACTTAGAGCACACCACTCCCATTTAGTGTTTTTATTTAAATGAGCACACCAAATGGATCAAGGTTAATAATATTAGATAAATAATAGGTTATGATAGCAATAGCCACTACAGACAGATTGTTATGATATCAACTCATTAGAAACTAAGATATATTTTTATTTAATGGTAATAATCATGTTGGATATGGAATCTGAAATTCAAAAACTCTCTTTTCATCTCTTTGGATTTGTGTGTGTGTGTATCTTGGCTCGGAAGAAGATGCTCTGTGATTTATGTGCATGCAGTTGGCTGGGGACCCACCTCATTGAGGATCTGAGTGGCGTTCTTTGCTCTTAGCATGTCAGGAGTATCTTCCATTTCATGAAGACCCTTCCCACGGATGCTTTCCTCTAAATCTCTCCTGTACTCTTTCTATATCACAAAATAAAAGCAGCAACGATGAGCAGAAGGCCTGGATTGCTATTCTCAGGTAAAGAGTTAAAATCCCCAAAGATAAAAAGCCCTTTCAATTTTAAATAGTTGCAATTTAGTAAATAAAGATATCAATAAAAGCAGGGTATAAGCTCTACCAGTCAATATGAAATATTTAGTAAAAACTAAAAATTAATAGAATGGTAAGGTAAGCACATTTTATTAGAGACTCAATTGAAATATCAGAAGAATGAACACGGGTCATAGATAAGATGATCAAATGTGAACCCAACTCAGAACCCACAGTTAGGTGGTGGTTAAAATGGTAGAAGATAGTGAAAGTGACATTAGTGCAGTTATTTGGATCAAGAGGGAAAGAAAAAACCAACTGGGCACTACCTCACTGATTATTTTGGTTGCATATTTGGCATGTAATGAAGCTGGCGTGACCTCCAGGCCAGTCAGGTTTCTGCCTTTAATGGACTCATCATATTCTTTCCTATATTCTTTCTAATGTGAGTAAGAAGAAAAGACAAGTTAAGAAAAAAAAGTTACTATTATTTACTAGAGGCCTGGTGCACGAGTACTCAGGGTGGGGAGTCCCTAAGCCCAGACTGCACCCTCTTGCAGTCCAGAAGCCCTCAGGGGATGTCCAACTGATGGCTTAGGCACACTACCCATGGGGAGCTGGTCTAAGCTGCAGTTTGGCCTTCCTCTGTGGGAGGTGACCGGTGGGCCAATCAGGGGATGGCACCAGCCAGTGAGTGGCCAACCCTGCTGCCCTCCATTCCCCTTCACCCTTCCACAGCCACTGGTCACCGCTACCCTCCCTGCCCCCTTGCCGTCACCTCCCTCTGCCCGATGGCATGTCTGGCACCGGCTGCTCACTGGCCCCGCCCCCCTAACCCATCATTCGCCGTTTGGTTTACTTGCATATTATGCTTTTATTATATAGGATGTCTCAATCTTAAGAAGATATTACATTTTCTTTCAATGTTGGCCTCTTAACTTGGTCGTAGTTCTGCTGATGGTCACATACTTGAAATATGTCTGATTTTTCTGGAAATATTTTATCCAAAGCAAATGGCCTCAGAGAAATGTGATTGGGGCTGACCCTCCATAAGAGCAGAGGGAAGGACCCAGAAATCCACTGTCATCTCTCCTAATGACATTTTTCTTAAGGCAACAAAATATTTTACTTCTGAATTAGAGGTAAGTGACTCAAGGGGAAAAAAATAAAACAACCCAGAGGAAAGAGAGCCTGAGGTCACCAGATACAAACTTGACCCTTTTCATAATCATGATCTATTATTTTTTAATCACTAAATAGGTTATGTGGACAAAATTATTTTTAGATGTCTCTGCTAACATTTCTAAATAGGAATTATGGCACCTGACTTTTGATGTTTTGATACAACACCTTGATCACTAATCTCCTATTGTTTGGCTTGGGGCTACCTATCAAGAGAAGAGTAATCCATCCCTAGCCGGTTGCTCAGTGGGTAGAGCATCCACCTGTGGACTGAAGGGTCCTGGGTTTGATTCTGGTCAAGGGTACATGCCCAGTTGCAGGCTTGATTCCCAGTAGGGGGCATGTAGGAGGCAGCCAGTCAATGATTCTCTCTCATCATTGATGTTCCTATCTCTCTCTTCCTCTCCCTTCCTCTCTGAAATCAATAAGAACATATAAAAAATAAATTAATTTGATAAAGAGAGAGAGAGAGAGAGAGAGAGAGAGAGAGAGAGAGAGAGAGAGAAAGGGAAAGAGAGAGAGGGGAGCAAAGCTGATGGTAAGTCTATGCAGAGGGAATGTTTCATCCATGAAAAAAATTATTATATTCAATATAATTTCAGCATTAGGAATAATTTACTATGTTCTCTTTCTATGAAAATGATAGTTAAAATAAAACATATGTGGTAAATTTTACTCTTCAGAACATTTTTGAAAACTGAACCATAGGATTTTAGTGGTCATATGGTAAAACATCTCATCATCTACTACTGTTGGATAATAGAAAGCTGGACATATTTGTGGGCAAAGCATGTTTTCATCAGGTGGAAGGTGTTTCTGTTGTATGTTGTGTTTGCGAAGGACTTACCCCGCTCTGCATCTGCTGAGACTCCTTGGCGGTGATGTACGTTGGTGTTTCAAAGTCCAACATGGGTTTTCCTCGTTCCTTTTCATACTTTTCTTTGTATTTCACCTAGTGATGAAAAGCCTTATTAGATATCCTTCTTCAGGTCAATTTGTAGACAGATACCAGCTTAAGGACAGTATTTTTCAATTGACACATTATGTCCAATTGGGTGGCATCTCTGCCATTCAAGACAGACCTAGAACTTTTTTGTTGCCCACAGGGAAAAACACCATTTCTGTCTACAACGCATAATTAAGATGTGGGTTCAACTCATGGAGACAAGAGAATCACTGCAGAAGGATCAGCAGAGTGAAAGGCTGAGGCAAAGAGACGCCCGGGGAAGATCACCCATAGGTAAGGTTGGCCAAGATTTGATATGTACAGATGTGAACATTTTAACCCTGGCATTAGTCAATACTTCTGATTTTTAAAAATCTCCAGTTTTTCTTTCATTAAGACTTGTTATCAGACAACTGAGGTCTTGATTTGATGGATAATGCATGCAACTTCATAGGTTAATAACTCTTTCTAGGTCATAACAGTAAACCTATTTAATGCAACCAACGTAAATTGGTATAAAAATAAAAACTAGTTTACATGTGACTGACTTACTGAAAAACCTGACATTCTCTAAAAACCCCCAAAACTATTTTACAAACACAGTCCCTCATGGGATGAAAGTCAGAGGCCCTTGCTCATGCAGTGTCTTAGCAGCAGGCAATGCTCAATATCACTAACATATCATCAAGGCCTGGGGGCAAGCACTACTTTACAGATAAAATGGGGGTATTTCTAGTAATTTAGCCCTTGTGGTTAATGCCCAACCGGGGACCTTAATAATGCCAAATTTGTAATAAAGGAGGACATGCGACAGCAACCTCCTTCTCTCAATTCTTTCTTTCATTATTTGCAAATTTTGCAATTTCTAATATACCCAGAGACTACTTCATTGGTAGGTCTGATCAGATCACTTATCTGCTTAAAAATCTTCTCAAGCCTCCCTATCATCCATTGTTTCTTAACAGGCAGTGCAGGCTCATGGGGCCTATCGGGGTCATTGTAAGGGCTTTGTTCCCATTTGTCACATAACCTTATGCTTCCAGTTCCCGTCAGCAACCTGCCTCACACACATTGCACTGTTTCTCCAATACATGTTGATGCTGTTATTGTTGATAACATAAACATTTGTTTCAAAAAATTCAAAGCCCCTGTATCTATGGACATCTTCTCAAGCAGTAGTTACCAGAACTGTCACTACTACCCTGGGGGCGGGATCCACACAAGCTTTTGAGCCTCAGGGGAAAGGTCAGTCTTGATCAACTTACAATGCTCTGCAGTTCCGTGGCCTCCTTTAGGTGCAGCTGCTCCAGGTTGTCGGGGATGGTGTGATAGTGGCCTTTGCTCTTCTCATACTTCTTCTTGTACTGGTACTGAGGGGAAGGCGGCAAAAAGGGCATGTGGACATTAAAGCTACGTGGCATCCCTATGTCTCCTCTTTGAATTAGACGTGTACCCAGCAGCAGGAGCAAGGCCACATTAAAATGAGCACATGCTAACTAGGGGGGTAAGAAAAGGCTTTCAAGGCTGGAGATCCACAGTCAGCTTTGCCAGTTCATACAGGTTGTACACACTTAGGGCATAAGGCATGTTCAAAGTGGGGTTTCAGAATGAAAAGTGAAAGGGGTCCTTTAAAGGAGGAAAGAGATTGGTTAATTGAAAAAAAAAAGTTGAAATATTCTTTAAAAAAAGCATTTTGTTACATTATGGGAGGTGTTATAGTCAGCGGAGAGGTGGTAGGTTACTACTGTAATTTAGAAGAACGCACTCAAAACAAGAGAGGAGCTTTTGAATCAACCTAGTGGGTCAGTAGCAGAGAAGTTAGATGCCTGGGAGCTCAGAGGAGGAATTTAGCTGCAATTGGCTGAAACAAGCTGATTCTGGAGCAAATGACCGAGCTTACAGAACTGGCGAGTTGGCTGGTATTCAACACATGATTCATTATCAGAGATTCCTTCATGTCAGTCACAGGTTTGTGAAGTTTCTTGAGGTCAGCCTTGTATTTAACCTGCATGTTAAGAGGGGAAAAGGATATTATGTAAATAGGGGATAGTAAACAGTAAGAGTGGAAGCCATAATAAGACTCATCCGGAAACAAATGCTGGAGATGGTGATGAAAAACCGTGTCTTAGTTATGTAGCCAAAAGGTGGAGTCAACATAATTCATCAACAGATAAATGAATACACAGAATGTTTATACAATCAATGGAATATTATTTAGCCATAAAAAGGAATGAAATTCTGGATACACATTACAACATGGATGAACCTTGAAAACATTATGTGGGTGAAATCAGCCAGACAAAAGAGACAAATATTGAATAATTCCATTTATATGAAATCTCTAATAAGCAAATTTATTGGAACACAAAGTAGCTTAGAGATTACCAGTGCGGGGAATGGAGAGTGTTTTGCTTAATATTTTGGAAATTATTGTGGTAGCTGGATAATATGGTGATGCAATTAATGTCTGGAAAAATAGTTGAATGACCAATTTCATGTTATATATTTTACCACAATTTAAAAAAACATACCTCACTTGCGAGATTGTTAGCATCTTTCATGACTTTGTAGAGCTGGCTGTCTTTGGGGTTGTATTTTGGCGTCTTGCCCTTCTCTTTGTCAAAATTTTCTCGGTATTTAACCTAACAGCAAATGCAAAAATCCAAATTATTCCTGAACATAAGTTAACTTGAAGACTGAGAATTGGAAAAGAATATAAATGAAAAAAAATGTTATACATAAAGTGATCATATAATTTATTATCCAAACTAGGACTCTTTTAACAGTGAAAGGGGCACAATGGTAATTAGGTTGGAACAACAGCCAATCAAGAATAAGATCCAGTAGGATTGTATTTTCCATCTTTCATCACTCTGGCTAATCATTTCCAGATTAGCCTGAGTGATGAAAGGTGATCACCTCCTTTTAATGCAAAACAAAAACAAATGGGAAATACATTAGGCTAAGTTAAGAGGAGTGATCAAATGTATTTGATTTGGAGCACCTTGGCCCTCCTAACTAGACGAGCTGAAAGGTCTGTTTCAAGGAGCTCCAAGAGGGATTGTCAATGATCAGAAGGGTGAGATGTCAGGTATCTGTTTAATTAGGAGAATTTATTGTTATTTTAAAATAATACTTGACTATATCATCTTAATTTTTTTTAAACTTGGCAAAAAAAATGGCATAACTTTTGAATAAAAAGAACAAAGTTTAGGAATTAATGGCTTCTACATCATTTCAGACTAGAAGAAAGAAGTGAGCTACTTTAGAATAATAAAAGAATAGGATTAAATATATTTTAGGTTCATAACAACTATGCAAAGAACTCAAGTAGTTCAATTTTAAAAAATAAGCATAATGCCTGGCACTAATAGTTGCTCAATAAATGTGAGTTGATGGAATGAAAGGAAGGAACATTCATTATGCCTCGGTAAAATAGCTAAAGAAGATGTTTCATTTATAAGAAAAATCAACAGGATAAACTGAAACGGGAGCATTTCCTTACTGAAAGACAGACTAATGCCTTTGTCAAGAGTATTGTAGGATTAAGTCCCCTAGTTGTTCACTCTAAGAATGAAAAATGAGCTATCTCTAGATGCTGGCCAGCTAAAAGGGCAATATTTGACTCTCTGGGAAATCTAGGATTTCTGTTATTGATAAGATGAAAGACTCGCCCGTTCGTTTAGCGCCCCAGGACCCACTCACCCCGATATTTTACCCTACAGACATTTAAACGCAGCACCCCTCATGCTTCATCATGTTACTTCGCTTCCCCACCACTTTACGTATTCAGCAGGACAGACACAAACAAGACCACTCAAATGCTAAGAACAATGACATCTGCCATCCCAGAGAAAATGCATCCACAAAGCTGACACTCACTTCTTTTGAAGAAACCTTCGGTGGAAATGCATAGGGAAAAACAAGCATGCAAAACAGTACCAGGTGATGCAGGCACATGGAGACAGATACATAAAGGAAGAGGAGGAACACAACAGAAAAGAAAAAGGAAATGTAAATGATTGGCTTCTCTCTGGAAAAAAAAAAAATCATTCTCAAAATAAAGAAACGAGAGGCCTGCTAAGGAAAGTCAGAGGCCATGAGGAAACTTCTTGTAAGAGACATGGAAACCCATAAGGCTGGGGCAATCCCACGAGCTGTGAAATATAGAAAGGCAAAGGAAACAGGATGTCCACAGGCAGACCAAGGAAGAAGAATCGCAAAGGCCCAGATTTTCGGATGAAAATAAAATCTGCTACTGTTAAAAGTATGTTAGATTCCTCTTTCTATCTTTTAGGAAATAATTTGTTTCTAGAAAAATATTTCCTTAACGAGCAGCAAATCCACTGGTCTTGCTTCCGTATCTTTTTCTTCTGTTAATTTCAAGTAAACCTAAATTTTCAACTTTTTAATAAAAAACAAAAAAATCTATGCCTCTGTTTCCTACAGAAAGACTCCCAAGCAAATGTAACCTAAAAAACAATTATTATGAATCTGAGTTCAGCACAAAATGAACTTCCTTTTGACTGGATCTCCTTAAGAATTATTTACTACATTTTGAAAGATATGGACACACATCAGAATCAGGACTCCAGGAATTCTGGAAATAGGTGGTAAGTATAGTAAATTCCTGACATTGGACTGGGAATGAGAACAGTCAAACTACATACATGCGTGTTATGGAATGGTAAAGTCTTCTGTTTCTTGTTAATCATGGAACCTGAGAGGCAACCAGGCAATGCCATGTATTGGCAAGTGCAACACCAGCATTTATAATCCCATCAGGCTCAGGTATTGGCTTACATGGATGTGGTATAGGAAATATTTTCAAATGAATTATTCTTCCAAAATTTAATTTAATTAAAGGTCTGAGATTCAACTGTTGAGCACCTTATCAAGGAATTGGTACTTGTAAAGACTGAAGAACAGACCCAAGAATTAGAAAACTTCTTGCTATTAAGACTGTAAGATAGAGGGTGAAAGAACTATGAGTTCACAGTATTTCCCGAGTGGAGAGACTATATTAAGTGCCAGTCTCAAATGTATTAAACATCAACAATGGCCATCAGCGGAGGTTTTCTCTGTGTGGTTGAAGATGAGAATCTTCACTTGTTTCCATTTCATCTTTTAATTTGCTCTTTGTCAGCTACCCAAAATATACTGGGAGTCCGAGTCTAGTCTATCTTCCTACTCCAAGTGGTATGTTCCAGAGAGCAAGTTTCATGCATGAGAAGATGGGTGTGTGCAAAAGTATATCCTTTAACAAATTTCCATAGCATTCTACACATGCCGACACAAAATCAACAGAAAAGAGTGCAACTTGGTCAGTCAGTCCCCTGACCAAGGCTAGGAAAGTTGACAAGAAAAAGAGGAAGACAGAGATCTCGACTTGCTGGTGTCAGTCTTACATCACTCATAAGTGCATTAACTTTCTTAAGATGCCTCATCATAGGGGTGTCATAAGATGCGGCGCCGTGCCCGTGTCCTCTCCTTTGGCCTTTGAGGTAGTCTGCCTAGAGTGCCAGCAAGACAGCAAAGTCAGAATGGGGAGGGCCCACAAGGAGATGGGCCAGGCAGTCACACCATGAAGCTGTAAATGCAGAGGCAAGCCTTTCACGGAAAGTAAACACAGGAAGGTGAACTCATAAAAGGTTCTGGTTGGGTCTCATTCTCCATATCAGAGCATTCACTTAGAATTAGGAATATGAGCCTCTTGATTTTTAAATATAGCAAAGTCTTTAAAATGTCAACATGCAAAGTAATTTCTTTGTTTTTAACTTGATAATGGTATGGCCTTGGGAATTTAAAAACATATTAAAAAATTTTGCATTAGAAAGTTCTTGATACATTTCATTACTCTTAGAGATTACACTGTTTTTTCTCTTTTTGTGGTGATTTCATATTTTGGTATCAAATGCTTATACAATTCCATTAATTTATAATAAAACATTGCATAGGAGTATTACATTAAAAACTTAAAAAGTCATATTTGCTTGTCATCAGGCATCTTAGAACCTTTCTCTTTATCATTATGGCTTGTTTTGTCACTTGGTATTGCTACTTTATACCTTCCAAGAGATTGGAATCCCATGTGTGCTATTGCTGAAAGTCATACATAAAACAACCAAATGTATCCCAAACCTGTTTCTTTACACAAGCACTTGAGAGAACAGACAATGGAGAAGAAGGTAGGACCTCTAAATTGGAGAAGAAATAAGTTATTCTTGAGCTCAAGTCCTACAGGACTCAGACTGGCTCTCTGAAAGAGCTGGCAGTGGATCATGGAGTCTCTGAGCTAAAGTCTGAAAGCCTGCCATAACTCAGGAATATTGGAGATAACTGTTCTAACAATTAGTAATGTGGCAATTAGGTCTGAGCAACACATTTCCGAGTCCATCTTCATAATAATATCAAATCCGCTAGAATAGAGCATTCCCACTCAGCACCCTGGGGAATACCTTGATCAAACTTTTGTCACCCCTATGGTACTTACTTATTCATGGATGGATAAGTAAGTCTGAGGGCATCTTCCCTAGGTCCTAGGACAGGCACTTCATATATATATGTATGTTGAATGAAAGAATAAAGGTTACTGCGTCTGGTTGGATTCTAGAAGTTAGAATTTCATGACACTTGCATGTTAACACGACCTCACCGGTGAGTTGAGTATGAATTAAGCCCTTGGGAGGTAAGCTCCAATGTCCAGAGACAGCTTCCAAGAGGAGCTCTGGAGCTGATGTTCTTATCGCATGAAAACAGCTAAGCACTCAACACCTAGACACACACCCATACGTGGAAAAGTGGAGAAAAAGAGAGGCCTGGAGACATTAGCCATAAACAAGAAAGATGGTCCTTAACACATGTATCCTGGCATGTTTCAGAGCTAATCTCCTCATATTAGAGCTGCCTCATGCCCGTCTGCCTTACCTGGCTGCTCAGCTTGGCTGCCTTTTTGGCCATTTCAATGTCTGGGCGACCTAGCATGCTTAACCCATGGCTGCCCTCCTTCCGGTGCTTGGCTCTGTACTCCACCTGGATCAAAGAAAACCAAAATGGGCAATGCATTCTGGGTGGTGTGGCCCTTGGGGATCAGGCACATGTTAACCACATCCTTACCTCGCTGGCCTGCTTGGCTGCCTGTGTGGCCTTCTTGATGTCAGGCCGATCAGCCACTGTAGTGTAGTGCAAGTTTTCTTTGGCATCTTTTCTGTAAGCGACCTTTATAGGGGGGGGGGGGGGGAGTTCACTCCTTTGAGAGATATGATATCATTCCGAAGTCCTCATGAAGTACAAGGGATCTTTTTACTAAAACCAAACTAATCCCACCCCCATATTTATTAAACTAGTAGAAGACACAAAAGTTAGGGCAACAGGAACCAGCATGCACCAATTTGAAATCCACGGGAAGATCCCAAAGAGTGTCGAGAGGAGAAACTTACATCACTCTGCTTCTTGGCCACTTCCATAGCATGTTTCACATCTGGGGGCTCCAGCATAATGGAGTAGTTGGATTTCCCTTTCTCCTTGACAAACTTCTTTTTGTAATTTGTCTGAAAAGAGCCCGAATTACATATGTGAGCGGAGGAAGCTGGGAACAGAATTGATTTACTTGAAGGACTTTTGAGAAGATCTCCAGGGAAACCCCCAGCTCCCCATTTTGGACCCCGGGTCTCTCGGTCCATATTCTAGTTCTCTTCTGTCACCTCTGTCCCATAGCCTAACACTGGAACCACACACTAATCTTTGGAGAAATGACCACAGGGAACTTAAGCTCTGTCATGCATCATTTCTACCTTTTTAAAAACAGATGGAACTCTGTAGGGCTCATAAACTATGATATTGTGATTATTAATATATTATTGATTAGGCCATAGTAGTCAGAGATGATCAAGATAGGGAGGTGGTTTGCTTCTCTAAAATTGTTTAGCAGTTCAATGGTAGGAGAGGCCAATCTCCATTAGCGATCTTTTCTCCCCTCATCAGCACTAGGTTAATAACAGCTCACTTATATTGCTAGATAACACGACCCATGGCAAAATCCACACCTGCCATAGTTGCCATAATTGGGTAAATAATAAGTTGGCCTTTTAACCGAAGTTCAAAACTGTGACCACTGGCAGGTGTTGATAGTAAGAACACAATGGCATTAAGGAAGGTGTCTGGCAGCTTTCAGTCTGGCTGGATGCTAAGGTAAAGGGTCTGTGCTGCTGCCCAGGGCCCCAGGCTGTCACTCACGTCGCTGACATGCTTGGTCACTTCCTTGACGCGAATAGTGTTCGGGGTCTCCGGCAGCGTCGTGTATGAGCCCTGGGCCAAGTGCTTCTTCACGTAGTCCTTATACTTGTTCTGAGGGGATCCACAGAAAGCGTTAGAGCGTCTGGCTGGGCATGAGCCCAAGGAGAACTCGAAGCCCACAGCAGCGGGAGGGGTACCTCGGACACCAGGTTGCTGACAGCCTTTGCCAGGAGGATCTGAGGCGTGTCGGGCACGGCGTGGCAGCTCCCTCTTTCCTTGACGTGTTTCTCTTTGTATTTCAGCTGTGGGGGTGAAGAAAGCGGGTCGTTAACTCCTCTGGGTCCCCTGCATCTTTTTAGTAAGCATCCAGGTCATCAGACAGAGCTGGGAGGACAGCATGGTGGATACCGTGGGCACATTAAACTCAAGACGTGACGTTTGGAAATCTTGGGAAGTATGTGGTCATGATTTTCTTTATCTCTTGCAAGTTGGGTCTAGATTTTAATAATAATCAAAATGGGGCTTGAGCTGAATCTTTATACATATAACCTAGTTCAAAGAACTTTCAAATGTCGTTTGACCTCCCCCAAAGCCCTGGGGGGCATTGTTATTCTTCCTTTCCAGATGAGGAAAGTGCATACAGAAATACTGGGTACCCACAAACGTGACTCAGTTTCCCTGTGGAACCCAGCAGGGCCTCACGTTCCTGGTTCTTGCTGTGTGGGTGCAGGAACCGTTAAGGCAGTCACCAGGTTTAATACCTTCCTGCTGTGCAGCCCTGCTCTGCCGTGTCAGGTCCTGTTCCAGCACCCACACCCCCAACAGCAGCCCGGTCCTTCCCTAGTGTCCCTGGGAGACGGGTCTGAGTGGGGTTAAGTGTCGTGGACAGGACGGGTACTCACGTCGCTCTCTATTAAGGAATTCCTCAGGGCCAGCACCATGTCTTTGTCATCGGTGACGGACAGCTTACAACCCTTGAGGAACTCTCGGTCCAGCTTGTATTCAAACTGTCACAGGAGAAAGGCAGAGGGAGATGGGGAAGGGGGGCAGGCACAGGAGAAAGCCAATCTTTGACCAAACCCATAAAGAGGCTGCCTCTTAAAGAGGGCTTGCTATAGAACGGGGGCAGAGGCCTCCTGGCCCCTCACTTCCTGCTGAGCTCCTCCTTTCCAGCCCCGAGGCTTAGACCAAGACCCCCAAGCCCGCTCGCCTCCAGCCCCACCCCAGCCTCGCTCAGGTCTCGGAGCCATTGGAGCCAGACCCAGACTGTAAGGCAGGTCTGCTTCCTGAGCTCGCCTTCCACCCCCACAACCCCTGTCCTTGGATCTCAAATGGGCTAGGTTAACACCCTCCATGGCGGTTATCATGACTAATTATTGATTTTCTGTCTAAGTGGGTGTAATGACTATGGCCCAGGCTGATGTGTCTCCTCTATCTCACATCGCTTTGCTGCAGGGAGGACTTGGCGGCCTGGAGGAAGTCGGGTCGGTCAGGGATCCACCTCCAGTGGGCTTTGTTGGCTTCATACAGCTTCTTGTAGTCCAGCTGTTTTTAATGAGAGGAAAACGAGTCGCATCAGTCAGGGGGCTGAGTTCCTGACCAACACACATGGCACGGAGGGACTCACCTTGCATTTCAACATACAACAAGTCCTGGTTCTTTAGGCAAGAGAGAGCCCCAATTAAAATTTCTCTACAATTTATGCAGCTGGTCAGCCACTCAGGAGGTTAGCCTGTGGGACCCTTTGGCCTCAATAGGGGCTAAAATTTTTAAAGGCCTCTGGGGGAAAAGATTCTACAATCTTTCCAGCTCTGCCAGCACAGCTTAGTCATCTTCAGAACACTTGAGCACTTTTAATTTCTAACTTAATTCAGGCTTAAGTAAAACAATATTAAACATATATAGTACATTCTTTTGTGCCAGGCACTTTTCTTAGTGCTTTATAATTATTAGCTTATTTCATCTTTGCAAGAACTGCATGCAGTTGACAGCTGAGGAACTTCCTAGAAAGGTTAGTAACCTGTCCACTACAGGCATTTCAGTTTGCTGGCCCTAACAAACATATGTTCTCTCTGGCACTAGTGGACACTAGTTGTGTTGTAATGGTTTCATTTTATAACTATATATATATATATATATATATATATATATATATATATATATATATATATATGTATATATATATGGCTTAGGCCAACTCATGACAGCACAAGGTGGTTAAATTTTTTTTTGTCCATAAAGAACAGGCTCTAGGGTGTTGGACAGGAGGAGAATATGGAGGGTGGAGGGAAGGAAAGATACCGAGATACTTTCTAAAATGCAAATTTCATTTCAGAATTGAGTCTCACATTTCTCAACCACCTAGCATCAAGGCAGAGTGGGTGTAATGACTGTGGCCCAGGTTGGCCACCCTTGCTCTTCCCCAATGACCTCGGCTAGAACCAGAGGCAGCATGGAGATTTCAGCATCCTTATGCTCACTCCCAACACCTAACTCTTGATCCAGACTCCATCTCTGGAAGAGAGGTGAGAGATCCTATGTTCCGATGAAGCTGATGAATCCCCGTGAGGCTAGGGGAAGTTTCTGGAACTTACGTTGGTGTTGACTTTGTAGGCGTCCTTGGCTGCTTTGATGTGAACAGCATCCGGCTTAATGGTGCAGTTGGACTTGTTTCTTTGGTAAACTTCTTTGTATTTCAGCTGTGGGAGGCAACACAATGACCAGGTTACTTTTTATAGCAGTCTACTTACATACTTAAAAAAATAAGAATGAAAACCATGTTTATAGTTAGTACACAGTGCTCCATGAACTTGTGGGTAGAAAGGTTGTGGCCATGCAGACATGTGTGTTCCTGTCTCAGATCTTAAAACCAGTTCCCGAGACACACTGAGCATGCTCATTAGTGTCATGGTACCACTCATGTCCCCTGAGGTTGTGCTGGAAGGGCCAGCTGCACAGCTTTCCCTGTATGTTCTCCCTTTTCCAAATCAGAAAATTCCAAGTTCAGAACATCTTGAAAACTGCTGACGGAAACGAAGCTCCTCCCACCCAGATGGAATGAGTCTTGCCCTCCTTCTGTACCCCTCACAGCTCCAGCTGTTATCACCTCATGTTGTAATTATTTGCTTAACTGTCTATTCTTTCCATTAAGCTGAACTCCTCCAACGGAAAAGACTGTGTGTCATTCATCATTGTTCCTAGTGTCAGGCACATTTGTTCCTGGTGTCAGGCACATAGAAACACAATAAATGTTTGATGAGTGAGTGAACGGATGGATGGATGGATGCAGTCATCACTATCATCACTGTTAGAGCCACATCTGGCCAGTTTGGGCATACGAGGCTTTGGATGAGAGGGAGAGTGTCAGGGAGGGCTTAGTCTCAGGGCCCAACAGGTGGTTTCCCCATCCGGGCCCAGAAGTTCTAGCTCCACCCAATTCTGCTCCTTGTAAATTTCAGGCCCTGGAGCCTCACTTGGGTTTCCTCACTCATTGTTGCTGAGGGATCCCAGGTGTTAAAGTGGTTAAATCTGAAGTGAGACTGTTCTAAGGAAGCCTAGTAGCATTACTAAATGTGCTTGGTCCCAATTTTCTGCACTCCACCACACACATAAATCAATATCTTTAGGGGAAAGACATGGAAATCCATATTTTACATCCATATCTCAGGTTATTGTTATAATTAGAAAATGTGGGAGAATGGACATCAAAATGCTTCCTTTTCCTACAGTGAAAGGGGAAAGGCTGCTCTGCATAAAGAACTGACCTGACAGATGTTTATGAATACCTGGCTATCCATGTTTGAAATGCCAATGCTTAGGTCAACATGAAAAAAGTGAAAATTTTTTATATGCATTTCTGCCTTCATACACGGTACACAAATGTATTTAACAGTTTTTCATGGCAGCTCAGGTCAGCATTGTGAACACATTTATTCATCTATCAGGGAATTCCTGAGCACCAGGTGAGGTCAAGGCTGTGAGTAAGGATGCGTATACTCCACAGCTGCCTTTAATATTCTCTCTGGTGCAGGATAGCCATGGACTTCCTCTTTTATTTATTTTTTAATAATCATGATAGTTTTCAACCACATAATCTATCTATATATCTGGAAATTTATGAATACAATTTCTCCTCAAATTCAGGATATTTGAATTTAATGGCTACCTTGTTCCTCTTAGCCAAGATAAAGTGTACAGAGTATTCATAGCATTTATGCCATATTGCATTTTTCAAAATGGTCTCTACAACATCTCTCCTCCCCACCCCTCCCCACTTTCTACAATGAAATCCTGCCATTTGTTCATCCAGAGGTGGCACCTATCTCTTCACTCGTTGAATCTGGGTATCCACTGTGCCAATAAAATACAGCACAAGTGTCACTTGTCAGTTCTAGGAGTAGCCCTTAACTGGTCTGGAAGCTTCTATTCCAGTCTCTTGGAACCCACCCACTGTGAGGTGAGCTGTCCAAACCACACGGGAGTGGGGGGTGGGGGAACTGTCTATGCAAAAGCAGAGCTCCAGCCCAGAACCATCATCAACGACCAGCCGTGGGAGTGAGCCTTCTTGAGGTGCTGGCCCACCTGAGCCTCAGCTGTCTGCCAGCAGCATGTGGGATAGAAGATCCACTCGGCTGTGCCCACCCAGCTCACAGAATCCCAAGACGGGGGCGGGGGGGGGGGTTATTGTTGTTTTAAGTCGCTAAGTTTTAGGGAGATTGTTACACAGAAATAGATAACTGAACCAGGGTTTGTTAGGTCACATTAGAGAGCCCAAGATGAAAAGACTGGGAAGCCATTCTTATACTTACATCACTGACTTCATCTTTGACCTTCCGGACATGCAGCAGCATGGGCGTGTCGTGGATTGTGGTGTAGCCTCTGGGCTTGGCCTTGTTGTATTCCAATTTGTAAAGTATCTAAAGGAGATGAAAAAGCAGGAAGAGACAATGTTATACAGCTCCATTTACAGTGCAATGGGATGTGACATTATAAGTGCAAAGGGCTTCTGTGTGTATGAAGATGAGTGAATTCTATAAATTCAAGAGGTGCTTTTATGCTTTCTGCCAAGGCCTTGCCAAGGTGCTTCTAAAATGGGGTGTCTCCCAATTTGGTTGGAACTGTTCTATGTGGTGAAAGAAGTTCTGAGCATAGCAGGACATTTCGCACCCTTGCCTCACTCCCACTGAATGGCGGAAGAGTCTTCTGGACATTGTGACAGTCTAGACTATCCTCTGCGTTTGCAAATGCCTCCTGAGTTTGAGAACCTGTTCAGTGTTTCTTGTACTTACATCACTGATTTGTTTGTTGACTTTTGTAGTACGCAGGTGTTCCGGAGTATCCACAATTGAGGTAAATTTGTCCTTAGTTTTTTCATACTTTTTCCTGTACTTGATCTAAATTGTGCAATAGAAGAACAAGTTAATGCTAAGAAGTGGAAGAGAGGGCTTTCAGGAATCTAATTTTCCTCTTGAGAGAATCCTACAGCAAATAGTAGGATTATTATACAAGCCATTGATATGGGGGGAATGGGTCATGCTTTCTCTTTAAATCCTAATTGAAAACATTTAATACAAATCTGTATTTGATAGCAAGCTTGCATTGGAGTGAGCAAACAATAACAATAAGTGATGATTCCCATACATTTTATACGTGCAGAAACTGAGGCCCAGATGGGGTAAAAGTAAGGGTACATGTAGAGTGAATCTCAGAGCAAGGACCAGACCCTTAATCTCTAGACTCTGATAAGTAATGATTCACTCACACTATAGGGTGGAGCAAAAAGTAGGTTTAAGTTGTTCATATGAAAAATAATACCATAATTAGATTTCAGTTGTAAGTATGGAAGATAACCCAATAATATAAGAATAAATTGTTTCCCATACTAACAACTGTAACCCTACTTTTGCCCCATCCTATATGCTGCATCGAATATGCATGACCTCTTAGGTATGTTTCCATATCAAAGATGAAATAGATGTAAAATAAAAAAACCAAGTATATAGAGTTTAAAGTATTTATCGTTTTAGAAAAGACATTCATTTTTGTAATTTTCAAGTCATGATTTTTTTTCATGCACATAAGCTGTTTCAAGCAGCACAGACACAGCACAGCAATAACTCATGCACAACTATTTGATGGTCATATTAGGACAAAAAAAAAAGTGGCAGGCAAATAGGATATTCCTAAGGAGACCTCATCACCCTCATTTCATATGCTGATGATGTCACACTGAAGTGATAAAACAAGTTCCTATACAAGAATTGATTAAAAACTTTTTTTGTATGGGGACAATGGATCTTATTAACATGGTATCTGGTAGTTAAGCAATCGTCACCATTTTTTGCTGCTTCAAATTTACCTTTCAGCACATGATGGAAAGGCGGTGGTGGTGTGCTTCTACTGACCTTGTGGGAAGGTAATGTTATCAGCAACACTGTTAACAATTATGCGAGAGGGCAGATGTACTGGAAATAACCTAGCAAATCCAGCGTCAAACTCAAGAAGGGACATGACTATACACAATTGTAAAAGAGCTGTACTGTCATCCTCATCTGTCCTAAATGGTACACTTGTAGTGATCATTGAACAACAGCCAAATTAGATTTTAAAAATTACATATTTAGACCTTCTAAATGCTGTTGAATCTATTTAATATACTCAATCTCTTAGGAATCTATTTGGGGAGGGAGCAAAAATTGAAAAATATAAGTTGAGTTTATACCAACTTGGAAATAAAGTTTGGAAAAGTCTCAGCTAATTTCACTAGGAGTTCCCTAGGTGTCATATAATATGCAGATGGCGTTATCACAGTGGTGGCCACACCCGGTGTTCATTTACAAGGAATGAACATTTGTGCAGCTTTCTCACGTGAAGCCATGGGCAGGGGCAGGGAAAGGAAGTCAAGGAAAGCATAAAGGCGAATGCCCCCAAGACTTCTTCCCATCACATCCAAAATTACCTGGCTCCACATGTATGAGTTGTAGAGGGCAGTCAACATATCTGGACGCAGAATTTCATTACATCCTCGCTTCAGAAGCATCTTGGCACTAGATTTATATTTTCTCTGTTCATGCAAAGAGCAGTGAAGCACAAAAGAGACATAAGAACATGGCTCTATATCCCCATCACATCTGAGTGAAGAGATGTAGGCAGACACACTTTATGTGCTCACATATACGTGTGGGTGAAGACACCAAATATATTACCAAATGCCAAGCAGAGTGACTACACACCTGCAGTTGACCATCCATCATCCTTGTGAATGGGGAATGAATGACATGGGAAATGCTTTATAAAAAAAAGGACATCATTGGAGTAGGAAAATATGGCTGGGAGTTTTGTCTCCTTTCCTTCCATTAATTTGCTTCTTTGTTTTTGGTTTTGCAACTCAATTTGCAACTTACAACTGCAGGCTAAAAACAGGGCTGCTAAAGGAATAAAGGGTGGAAGGACCCAGCTTTCCTCTTCCTCTTCACTGCAGCACATGTGAGCACACAGAGCATGGACTGGCACACTCAAATAGCTCCCGGGCTCTTTGGGTGGCAGACAGATACTGTGAAACAGAACATCCCAATATCATAGGCAGAACCTATGACATCCTTGCAGCAGACAGGACAACATCTCATGAGAAACCTGGAGCACTGCCTGGGCTGGCCAACCAGCCCCATCACAGTACCTGACTGATCTGGTCGCCTGCGATCTTAGCCAGCAGATGTCTAGGCTCATCGACTACCAGGTGGTATTTATCTTTCCGCTGCTCATAATCAGCTCTGTATTTTTTCTGCTCGGACATCAGATCAAATTATAGCAAGAGTACAACTTCACAGGCTACACAGAAATGTCCCCAGATAAACACTCCAGAGGACCAGAAATATCTCATTTTGGGAGGTGGGCACCCAAGCTTCCAGGATAAACACAAGGAGGCAAGGAGAATTAAGTAAGGGAAGATTGCCTGGAGAGGGCTGGGGTGTGGGATTTACGACACCAAATTGGAGTACCTTGTGCCTATACATTTTCCATCTCTACATAGGATGCCATTAGCAATGTTAGGATTTATGGCACCTTACATTTAAGATAAGGCAAGGTAATCGACAGGTCTACAATCTAAGGCTGTGAGAATTAAAAGGAATATTAGTGAAAAATTCTAAAGGTCTTCTAATGCTAGTTAGTTTATTTAATTATAATAGAGCCCTGAAAATCCTTTGTGAGTGTGAAAAATAGAAATAAAATATATCAAGACTGTATGCTAGGAATCTACTAACAGTAATTCTTCAGAGTTGTTCCACCTGGAAATCTACTGAAAATGAACAAAGTCAAATTAAAAAGAAAAAAAAAAGTCATATATTAAAATAAACATACCATTGGTTACATTTCCATTTTTAGATACATTTTACTAATTTTCTAACATTGTGCATGAATTCATGTAAATCTGTGAAATATCCGAAGATAGGAAATTAAATATAAAACCATTCAAACATTTAAGTTAATCAATAGCTTGGTTATTTCAGTCACTTTAAGCCAAATTTAACTTAAATTGTTGCAAAGACAGTTCTAGAAAAGACTGAGTAGAATATAAAAGAATATTTTGGGGACAAATGGCTACTTCTTTGCACCAATATATGAGTAAACAATGGTAATACACTTGAATGCCAAATCACAACAATCCCTTCAAGGGTGGTTTTTCCAGCCACTGCCATCTCTGTACAGCCATGGTAGAGATGCTAAATTAACCTTGAACTTCTGTGTCTCCCAATTCTACACAGTATCCTGTTTTAGGGAGTTCGGCTGATAGTCAACAAAATCCTTTGCCTCCTTGCTGTCATCACCCAAAGGGCTGTGCTGCTGTGTGCTAGCGGGAACAGAGTGGTGATGGCTGTGGGGCCCTCCCATCACGCAGCACAATCCCTTCACTTGCTCTTACTCATGCTTTTGGCAGAGCCCATCAGAGGGTGACTTTATAAGAGTCTTTCCAGATCTTTATCTCGACACTTAGGAAAGCTTTTCTGTCATTTTACTTATTGGGTTGCAATCTGATATAGACTTCTGAAGGGAACATCATAGGGTTAATTGGGTCAGGTCAAACATACCTCATTCGCCAACTGAGTTGCATACTTGAAATGCCTATTGATTGGACAATCGTTTTCATACTTGAAATGTGACTTTGTCCTTTCAAATATCTCCTTATACTTGTACTAGAGAAAACAGAATGTGGTTAATTGATAGCAGGCTGTGATTATCTTAAGAATGAGACATGCCTTTTATTTTATCATACAATTGTGATAATTTCCTTATAGAGTTAACAATTACTAAATACTTACTCTGTCTCCCAAGGCAATAAAGGATATATCTACCCAGATTCATTGAAAACTCACTCCAAAACATATATATATACTGAATGGATGACAAACATCTATTTTCCAAATTAGACAAAAATCCAAATCAGTTCCTTCTTTGTTCCTATATATTATAGTGATTATTATTTTATTTTGAAGGTATTACCATATGCAGTTGAAGGCAGTTTTTTAGTCCATTAATTTGAAATAGTTTTTGGTAATTAATCAGATAATCATAGTATTTAGGGTAGGGATGGGCTAATATTTAGAGCATCACCTATTTTTAAATGATCCCATGAACTAAGAGGTTTTTGAAAAAAATAATTTAAAATAATTGTAAACAAAGAATGTGTGACAGAATGAATGTGGACCAGAAAGTCTAAAATATTAACTATCCTGCTGGTTGAAGAAAAGTTGCTGATTCCTATTTTAAAATTCAAAGGAAGCTAATCCAACAGCTTTGTTTTGGAAATAGGAAAAGGAAACCATAAGAAACAGTTATTTGCCTCAAGTCACACAAGTGGACTCGAATAATCCCACTTTAATCCCAAAATAGTTCAGTGGTTGAGCATGTATGAACCAGAAGGTCCGAGTTTGATTCCTGATCAGGGCACATGCTCGGGTTTTGGGCTCAATTCCTAATGTGGGGCGTTCAGGAGGAAGCCAATCAATGATTCTCTCTCATTACTGATGTTTCTATTTCTCCCATCTCCCTTCTTCTCTGAAATCAATAAAAAATATTTTAAAAAAAGAATCCCACTTTATATACCGCCTTGTTAACTCTAATAGGATGAATTACCCAAACACATTAATAGGAAGGGAATTCTGGCAGAGTATGAATTGTTCTGAAATGAGCATTTATCAAATTCAAATAAATTATATACTAAATGATGACTATAGTCAATGAAGTGAGCACTAAAAAATTTGAGATATGCCATTTTTACAGAGCCCATCAGACGGACAGTTCAGTATGTATTCCAACGACAGGGACTAAAAGCGAAGATCAGGGTGGAAATATGAAAAAGCTACATGCTCAATGCTAATTCTCTCTGTGAGCACTGAAATATGCTAAACAGATGTGGCCATCATCCTTGAGAAATCATACCTTGCTGTAGAGAGTCTTGTTCTGTCCAGCCAGAGTGAAGTCGGGGGTATCATAGGCATAGCAACCAATTCCTTTAAGCCAGGTCAGATCTTCTTTGTATTTTACCTGGGAGAAGAACATTATCAAAGAGTTTTAAGAACCTATCTCCAAATAGCACTAGGTTAGGATCTATACAAGTGGAACAAATACAAGCTCTTACCACTGACACATATAGGGTAATAAAATATCAAAACAATTATTTAAGATAAGTTTCCAATAAAACTTTTTCTGCTTATTTTATGGTGTATTATATGGAAATTTTTATTTTTCATAGTAATTAAAACAATTCAAATGTAACAGGCATACTTTCCTAGAGATTATATTGTGAACTTGGCAGATGTATTTTCCTATTGAAAGCTGACATTTCTTTCTAAGTGAGCATCGTTACCTGTCTTGAATACTTCATGAATTGTCTCCTCAATTGACCAGAAATAGGTTATTGCTTAGATGAAGTATATCACTTCCAGCCATGTAATATGATATAATACATTTGGGAGAAAAATTAGGTTTATAAATTGGAATATTTTTTCTCTCCCAAGTTGAAGTTCACTCACTTATCTATGAGTTTTATGATTTAAACATCCATTGCATAAGAACCAACATTGAGTCACATGTTTAATCGATTTTAGTGCAGTGTTTGATTTCCTAAGTCACAAGGACATATGAATTATAAAAATGGAAGACTTAAAGACTCACATCACTGACTGCATCAGCAACTGCCCGGTGATGGAACTGCTCTGGGCTATCAGGAATGGACCTCCAGATTCCCAGCTGGCTCATGTAGTTCTCCTTGTATTTCACCTGTGGGAAAAACACAAAGACAGGTATAACATCTGACCCAACATTAATGTAAAAAATAGTCTATTTATTTCCAGAGAGTATCAGGGAAGGGAGGATATTTTCTAGTTTGTTTATTTGTTTGGTTTTTAATCCTCACCCAAGGATATTTTTCCATTGATTTTTAGAGAGAGTGGAAGAGAAAGAGAAGACAGAAATAGTGATGTGAGAGAAGCACATCGATGGGTTGCCTCCTGCATGAGCCCGACAAAGGCATAGGCCGGGAAAGAGCCTGCAACTGAGGTATGTGCCCTTGACCAGAATCAAACCCAGGACCCTTCAGTCCACATGTTGATGCTTTATCCACTGAGGCAAACCGGCTAGAGCAAGGGAGGATTTTTAAAAAACTGATGGTGGCTCATCGAGCCTCATGCAAGAAGCTATAAGGAGGGACGTACTTTACTGATGTCATCTGTTACTCTGCGATGGTACACAATGTCCAGAGCATCCTTCACAGTGTGGTATTTCCCTTTGGTCTTTTCAAATGTTTCTTTGTAGCGTAGCTGGAAAGAAAAACACACACATGGATTATGAAAAACTGCCCAGTTAAATAATTGAAGTCTTTTAAACATGAGGTTTAAAATTGAATAAATTTTAGGAGAGATTTAAAAACTAATGTCACATTCTGGCAGAGAAAAAAGACACGAGGAGGAACCTAATAAAATCTGAATAAAGTATAGAGTTTAGTAAATAATGTATCAATATTGACTCATTGGTTGTGACAAATGTATGATGGTAATGTAAGATGTTAACAACAGGGGAAACTAGGTGTAGTTTAATTTCATTATCACAATTCTTATCCTCATTCCACATATAAGAAAACAATCTCAGAAAAAATTAGGTAAGGTATACAGAGTCAATCAGCAAGCAAACGACAGTATCAGGATTTTAACCATGTTTGGCTGACTCCAAGAACATGACTTTATTGGCAAAAAACCATTAGTTGTCAAGCATTCCCTAGGAAATGCTACCAAAGACTCACAAGAAAAGCTCACATTCTTCCAAGAAGAGCAATGAGAAGAGTCATAGGCTTTTTGCATTACTCTTAGCTACTACTTTGCCTAACTGGTATTGTTTGTGCCTATTTTTTTATAAAGGTTTTTAGATGCGGTGTTTCTTTTTTCCTGCTCTGTGTATGGGTCAGGACCTTGAACTATGGATATGACTAATCTTTTCTGTTTCCTCAGATACCTCAACCTCCACTGTCCCTACCACAGCAGCAGACAGAGAAAGGGATGCATACATCACTGGCGTTCCAGTAAGCCTTCTTGGCTCTGATGAGGACTGGTGTGTCTGGAATTGGGGTGTACTTGTCCTTCATCTTTTCATACTGAGTCTTGTACTTGTTCTAAGAAATAAAGATAGGAGAGAGAGACAACATTAAGTTCAAGTGTCTTCATCCTTCACCATCCACAACCATGTCACAGATCCACCCTAGGCACTCAGTGTATTGTGCTCGTTAGCAGAATGGCCCCGCCTCCTGTTCTTGGTGCTGCTGAGCACCACTTATAGACGTGAGCTCTCCTATCAGAGGCAGTGGGTGAGGGATTTAGCGAGCTTTTTTCCTTTGGCCCAGTGCCTCTGTGCCAAATTCCCAGCCTACCTCGCTGACCAGGTCCTTCACGTCTTTGGCATGCTTCAAGGCTGTGGTCTGGTTTCCAGCGTGGTGATGGGGTCTCTCTTTGGTGGCAAGTTCAACATATAGATACTAAATAATCAGAACAGGGATCAGATGTTATAGAGATAAAACATTTTTTTAAAATTTACCATTTAGTCTTTTCTATTCAGCAGGCGTGCACCTGTCGTCCTGTTTTTTGTTTGTTTATTTGTTATATGTGTTTCTGTTCATTTGTTTCTCTCTATGTCTCACATCTGGAAACACATTTGCACTCCAGTTGTCTAATAAGCTTATTGCTGAGAACAGTTTAATCTAAATCCATATAATAAAGAATGCAGATAGAAGAAGAAGAGGATTCTGACAGAGCCTTCAACATATTTCCCCCCCATTTTTGCCTGAATGCATGAATTGTAATTTTATTTGTCTGTGGAAAATACACAGGTCCTATAGAATAAGTCAAGCCATTTGTTTTCGCTGCCTGTAGTCCACAGGCTATTCATCCAAAAACAAAAGTTGAATAGAATGAGAAAAGAAGACATGGCATTTACCTGCTCATGTAAAACAAACCATGGTTAGGATGAACCAGACAAACACTGCCTCTTGAAATTAATGGGCATGCAATTGCATCAAGGACAACTTATGCTACTGACCAGAAGTGGTTAGACACACACAACCGCCCCCTGTGAAGCCAGTGTGGCAGGTTCATGAATCTTTCCTTATTAACTTTACCTGACTCTGAAGCTTCTGCCCTTGCTTGGCTCTTAGAAGATCAGGTGTATCAGGAATCGAAGTGAAGATTGACTTCTGCTTCTTGCCTTTAGCTCTGTACACCAGCTGGAGATATAACAGTCATCGCCATCATTTCTGCTCTGTGGACAGTTCTCGCAGATGCCTTTATTACTTATTTCATGGAAGAAGCAGGGGCCATCCCACTGCAACAATCTGTTTCTTTCCGATAAACCAATATTTTGTTTACCTCCCTGGGCTTTCTTTATTTTCCCCCCTCTTTTATCAAAATACACTCTGTAGCTTGTCCAAAATTCGCGCCTCCTGGTGTGATCCTGGTTTCTTGTTACCTGTCCCTTCTAGGACCCAGTTCCAACAGTTATCCCTTCCCTTCCATGGCCTTCAACCCTCCAGTTTCCCCAGCCCTCTCCCTTCATCTGCAAACAGACTCAAGTCTCTCCCTTCATTTTCCAGCCTCTACCACTGACCTTGTTCCTCTTTTTTTACAACCAAGCAGACTATGCGTTTGGTGGTCCAGCCCTCCCCCCTTTCTCAAACAGTTTAATAGCAAATAAACAAAGGAAGGTACCACACTTAGCAGATACAAAATGACTTTTTGTTCATATGTCGGTGTAATTAAAACAGAGTTAGGTTCCCCATCGGGACAAAAGGAAAAACACACACAAAAGGAGATTCTTTTTAAATGCATATTCTCTTGTTCCAAACTTGTAACTTTTTTTTTTTAATTCACTATACAAATTCTGTGATCAGATCAGAAAAGTGACAAGGGCTCTTCTTGCCTTTTTTAAAAAAAAACCATTAAAGTAAAATCCATAATTTTCTACATGGTACAATGTAAGCTGAGGCAAAGTGAGATCAGTTGACTTGCTTCGACGTGGTGGGCACTCTGTAATTAAGGCAGAAAGGAGATCTCTGCCTCGTGTAGTTGCCTGATAAATGCTCTCTAGAGGAACACATCCTTACCTCACTCAGATGTGTCTTCAGTTCTTGCACTGTTCTGTATTCTGGAGTGTCAAGCACCACTTTGTATTTGTCTCGCATCTTCCTTGCATTATCAGTGTACAGGTAATTAGACTAACAACCAAAAACAGAACGAAAATAAAAGTTGAGTCATTCAAGAAACTGATGTTGTGGTCACACATTGTCTTTCAAATGGTCGATGTGTGCCAGTCAAGCTGAGCCTCCATGTGCCCTGGAGGCCTTCCCAGGCAGGGACAAAAACCATTGTCATCTACCTAAGCTCATTGCCTTGTTAGGAGTCATGGTCATGACTTGATCAAGTGGGTTAATGTCAAATTTCCCCTTAAAAGTAGCTCTAGGCAAAGATTTTCTGCCCAGCTCCTTGAAGCTGAGTAGGGGTCGCCACGTGTTGCAAAGACGGACGGGCACTCACCCAGAGCTTCCGCAGGTGCCGGGAGCGGACCATGTCAGGAGTGTCCATCAGGAAGCAGCCAATTCCCTTCAGAATCTGCAAGTCCTCTTTGTATTTAATCTGTGTGGCCAAAATAAAAAATATAGCTGGTCAGAGGCAAATAGAAATCAAGAAAAAATAAGAGTAGTAAATATATATATATATATATATATATATATATATATATATATATATATATTTTTTTTTTTTTTTTTTTTTAAACTGATATATCTTTCATTTTGATTCAACACATCCACCTTGGTACTCTTAGTGTGTTTGCATGCAAGTAAATCACAGATTTTGAAATTTAAATCTCTAACCCTGGTCTGAGGAGAGGCCACAGCTATTATTTTATGACTGCATTGATGGGAGAGGGGCTTAGATGGAATAAAGTGGTCTTTTAGGAGAAGGAAACATCCACAGAAGAAAAAGAAACAAATGGTAGCAGGAAGTTGCTTAAGGGAGTGGGAGCAGGGATGAGCAGGAAAAGATACTAAACATGAGCTGAAACAGAGGCCACCTAGAGAGTGAAGAGTTGGTAATAATTTAGGGTTGCATGAAGAATGGTGGCCAGCAATTCTTGCATTTCCCAAGTGGTCCTCCTGCTACTGTTTCCAAAGCTAGAAGTAAAATGTGGGGTCCTGCCTCCATACTATAATATTTCACCTCCAAGCCATACATTCAGTTGAGAGGTACTTAGAGGAAAAGCCTGCTGGCCTGCTGAAAGAAGCCATCCTCTCCTAACAGTGTTCCAGAAAGACCCCATGAGATGCTTACGTCACTGGTGATGTCTCCCACGTAACGGCAATGGAGCACTTGGGGTGTGTATGGCAGCGAGATCATGTGACCCTGCATCTTGAAGAAGTCTGATTTGTAGATCAGCTAAAGAAAAAAGTGTCCAGAAAAACTCATATTAGTGACTGAATGACTGAACGCCACCCCTGGGTTCCCTCGCCTGTCTTCTCTCCTGGAACAACACCCACCTCACTGACAGCCTCCTGTGTCTTCCTGACCTGGCGGAGCTCAGGTGTGTCGGGGGTTGTGTGGATCTTATCTTTGAGTTTGTGGTACAGTTGTCGATACAGCCTCTACATTGGAAGAAACACCATTTCAGGTGGTCAGTGTGGGATACTGACTGATCAATAAGCAAATATTAATATTTTTTCCATAGAATCCGAATTCACAGTACCTCGCTGGTAACATTGTTGACCCTCCGGACATTGACAAACGGAACATCATTGGGGCCAAGTGTATACCCATTTGCCTTGAGGTGTTCATAAACTTCCTTGTACTTGAACTGCAAAAGCAAAGTCAGAATGAGATTACGGATGGGTAAAGAAACCGAAAAGAGCTGTCACTTGCATTTGAAAATTAGCCTGTAAGCATTAAGTATAAGGAAAAGTCATTGACAAAATTTCAATAATAGAATCTAGAAAATTATTTTGTTGACTAGTAAAACCAGATCCAGAAAGGAATAAAATTAGATGTTGCCTAGATGAAATCTATTTGTATGCAGTCATGCAAAATGAAAAAAAACCCCTATATTTTTAGCCACAATATGGCTAGTAAATTAGGAAATGCAAAGAAAAAATAAGAGACTAAAGACTGATAGATGGTTTTACAGATTGATATTGGACTCTCACTGGCCAGCAGATTTGATACACGGAACTATGAATGGCAACATGGAAGGGAAGGCTTATTCTCCAGCTGATGGCTTATTCATGGGTCTGGTTTGAAGGCCATAGTCACTGGCATAGACTCAATTTCCCTAGGCCTTGTCCTTTGGGTAAATGGTATGAAGTCCCAAGCTGGCACTTTTGAAAAGTGGAGAAAGTGGGTGATTGAGCTAACTCCAGGGCAAGGTACAGGTAGTGGGAAGCTATCTAGCCCTCTGGGCTTTCTATGGAATGGTACAGACGGCAAATAGTGAGGCAAGTACCAGGGCCAGCAGCCCGGCAAAAAGTTTTTTCTATTCAAAGAAATATACAGGGATGTTATATCTTTTTCTTTTCTTAAATATATTTTTATTGATTTCAGAAAGGAAGGGAGAGGGAGAAAGAGATAGAAACATCAATGATGAGAAAGAATCATTGATTCGCTTGCCTCTTGCATGCCCCCTACTGGGAATTGAGCCCACAACCGGGGCATGTGTCCTTGACTGGAATTGAATCCAGGACCCTTTAGTCTGCAGGCTGACACCCTATCTACTGAGCCAAACTGGCTAGGGCTGTTATATCTTTTTCAATGACACACTGCAGAAGACAATACTGACGCCACACATCAGTAGTGAAGGTATGATTTAAATTTCCAGTATGTGGCTTGCGATTGTTTAGGATGCTCTGTGCTAAGGCTAGCAGGAGTAGAAGCATCCTGCAGCCATGAACCTGGAGCCAAGGTAACTGAATCGCGCAGATGTAATCCCACAGGAATCCTATGCTAACGCACTGGACTGTGCACACACTGATGACCTAAAGGAGCCAGCCAGTTCACAGCGCCCCGGGGAAATGTGCTGTCTCCCCTGCTCTGCTCTTATCACTGTATCATGTTGAACCTGTGGGGTGGGGCTGGGGGGATGAGAACAGGCTATTCATGAATATTAGTGCCCCCTCTCACTTTAGACCCCATCTCAATGAGGAGGAGAGCACTCACATAACTGCTCATGTACTGGGTGTCCTTGGAGTGTTTGAAGTGCGGAGTGTCGACCGGAAGCCTGTATCCAGTAGCCAGGGAGCGCTTGCCCGCATCTCGGTACAGATTCTGCCGAATGAGGAAGAAGGTTAAATGACACCTACATCTAATAACTGATGTAAGTTAAACAAGTCACATCCTGTTCATGTTAGGTTTTCAATTACATACTTAAAGTACTATGCTTACTGAATTAATTTCAGAAAGAAATTAAATAAGCTCTAAGAGGCAATTAATCAAATTACTCTTATTGTTTTTTTTAAAAGAGAGCAATGAATGCAGAGATTTATAGAAATTAATCCTTCTATGCTTCTTAATATATGCCAAGTTGACTGCATGCTAATTAGCAAGAATTTGGGTTCAGTAGAGAAAACAGTCTACCAGGTGCCACCTCTGTTCTTCACCACACTCTCAGGTGATAGTCAAGTTGCCACTAATCTTGAACACAGTCATAATTATGAAGCACATAATTATAAAGCATATCTCTCTCCCCCGACTCACTGCCCCCTCTCCCCTGCCAAACACAGCATTAATGTCAGACTATGAAGCGAGCAGGATGCTCATATTCCTGGAAAAGGTGGAAGGAGTTTCTGTCTCTCAGAGGAACTATAAGAATAAGAACAGTATTTAAAATATTAAAAACCTAATTATTCCTAACGGTCAACATAGGAGCATAGCACCATCAGGTAACACAGATTAGAGATCTTACACGTGGAGTGGAGTCTACATTCTTTCCTTGTCTGAGTTTCAACAGAAATTTCTAGCTTTCTCTCTTATTGTTAATAATCTTTCATGATCATATGCCTTGTCTTTCTCATCTTGGTTTTAAGCTTTTTGAGAGCAGAAATAGTAGGTTGGCCCTCTTCCTTGTAACCTGTAAACATTGCTCCCAAAATGCCCACTGTATGCTTAGAAAGAGTTGGCCAGCCAAGAAGGAAGATAGGCTATGCACTGTTTTTTTGTTATTTCATAGCTCATGTGTTTGGAAGAGCATGTACAGTATGGAACAGCATTTACAATGTACAAGGTCAGGCTGAGAAGATGCCCACGCTGAGGGACTTTGGCAGAGGCCAATGACCCGGCCTCTGTAAGCTGCATCCAGGACACCCACCAGGCACTTCGTAGAGTTCTCCCAGCTCACCTCACTCTGGAGCTTGTATGCATGAAGAGCCCGGTCCAGATCCACGGTTTTTGTAGTTGGAGCCACTTTGCCTCGGACACTGTGCACGTAGTCGTAGTGGTAGACAGCCTGGTGCAGAGAGAAAGTGCGCGGACTCAGACAGATTCTGGCAGCATTGTTAGGAAGAAGCAATGTAAAAGGAAACCCAAGTTTCTATTTCTCTCTCTCTCTCTCTCTCTCTCTCTCTCTCTCTCTCTCTCTCTCTCTCTCTCTCTCTCTCTTTTTAAAGGGTAGCCTGCATCCCTATGCCTAAAGAATTCTATCTGGTATGTGACTGTGCCTTGTCCAATAAGACCAGAGCCAGGGTGTGGCCCCAGACTGAGAAATAAGTGGAAGGGTTGGCTCAGACATTAGCAGAGGAAGAGAGGCCATTTTAGCACTACAAGTTCAAAAATAATAGGTCCCAATGTTCTAAGTCACTGGTGGGATGATTTTATTTATTAACCCGTGGAGTCAATTAAAAAAAAAAAGCAGCATTGTGCTTGTTCTTCCTGTTCTATAGCAGGCACCGTAGTGGGTGCTTTTCATCCATTTTCTCATTGTACAGATAAGGATGCTGAGACTTGGAGGACTAAATGCTCTTCCCAAGCCTCATTGATTGGTAGAGGCTGGATTCCTTCTAACTTCAGAGTCTGCTTCCTTCTCATTCTACTTAATTAGTTTGCTCTAATTTATTAGAATATCTAGACTTGCTCTTGATACAAGGAATCAAAAAGCAATTTGGAAGCTTTAAAACAACAAGCATCGAATAGACTTAGGTCACTTACAACCCCACCCCAGGGAGTTACCTGAACCCGTTAGGTTTTAGGAAACAAGAGCAGAATCTTTTTTTATTTTTCAACTAGAGTTTGCGTTCAATATTATTTTATATTAGTTTCCAGTGGAGAGCAGAATCTAAGTACTTCCTTCCCCAGGGAGAAAAAGCCAGGCACTGCCCAGGCATGGTGTTTGCCACGTCTGCTTGAATGGTAGCCCCTGTCTTTATCACTGGCCACTGTCACAGCCCCAACGGGCACTTACGTCACTTATTTGTTTCCTGCTTTGGACAGCCTGGACGTAGACTGGTGTATCCATGACCAAGTTGTAGTCATTCCTTGTCTTCTTCACGTGAGCTTGGTACTTGATCTGCCAAAAAGAAGAAAATAAGCCTGTGGTTACACCATTCATGATATCGGAAATTGCTGGTTTTCACCGAAGTTTCGGTTGTTGTTTTTTTGTTGTTTTTTTTTAAAATCCTGGCATTTACATTCACCAGCATTTATTCACTAGGCCAGGTTGTGTTTAAAGTTTATGACAGTCAACGTGATCAATGATTATGGTCATATGGGACTTTTAGGTGTTTTGACAATTGCTTTTCTAGTAATATTTATTTTCTTACTAAAATCTTGAATACAGTATTGATCTTCCTAGCAAATCCTCTCTTTGCCAGTAGATCCCATCTATAGCATCACAAACTCCTAACAAATTATATTTTCCTAAAATGACAATTATGTGCTCATTCACATATACAAAATAGCCCAAAAGGTAGAGAGAAGAGCCACATGCACCTTCTCCTCCAGAGAACAATGGGATAGCTCAACTGCATTGTTGAATAGGAATGCCATATGCACTCCTGAGAAATGGTTGCTTTCAATGGCTTAGCGTTTTCTCTAGCTCAGCCATCCTTACCATCACTTAAGACACAGCTGGCCTGTGACAGTGTTCCTAGTTTACATACTCTTGCCTTGACGCTAGACTATGAAAAGAAGAAAACACATAAAAAATAATCAAGGCAAACTCACATCATTGCGCAGGTCATAAGCGTGCTTGGCGTGGAGAATTTCAGGAGTGTCCCAGACATAGCAACCAATGCCTTTCAACCAGTTGAGGTCATCCTTGTACACAATCTACAGAATTGAAACAGATAAAGGGGATTGGCAAAATAAAATTTGACCATAATTTTAACAACAAAGACGAGGGGAACCCTCTGGACCGAGGTTGATTTTGTGGATTGAGAAGCAAACGTAGTGAGTCCAAGGGGCCATGGAAACATTGGCACACAGAGCCCTGCTTCCAGTGGTACCTTTGAGTTCCAATGGGACCCATGGGTATATAGGAAAGCAGTGTTAGGGGAGGCTGGGTATAGAGGGAAGCAATCCTGGGAGGAGGCTAAGGTAAAGAAGTAGGTGAGTATGCTTCTCTTTAGATTGGGAGTCAGGGGCCAGGAGGGTGGGCCTTCATGAGCAATGCACTTACGTCGCTGATCTGATCTGTGACTTTCCTGACATGACTGTTGACTTGCAAGTCGGGATGGCAAATCCACTCATGGAGGTGTAGGCGGTAATCAATTTCACTGACTTTCTTCTGAGAATCCTTAGCAGTAACCAACTCTACCATGTCGGGCACAATGTTGATTTTCATCTTGTTCTTTTCATAAACGGACTTGTACAGGCGCTGTGAAGTTAAAACGACATGCCACTTACACAGGAAATTGTGCACAGAATCATGGCAATATATGACTTTCTAATATGCCTTCTAATACACTTCTTACACACCTGAGAAGTCACGGTGACCAGTTTACAGCAATCAGTTGGGGGAAGGGCAGGGATTGGAATTTCCTGACACTTTCTACAGATTTGTGTGGGCTGGAGATGCAGCTTGGGCTGAAATAGCCCCTAGCTCTTTCATATGTACTCAATCAGAGCCATATGCACTGTTTAATAGAAGCAGTTCTGATTTACAATAGATGACTCTATTACTTGGCTTCAGTTTGAAGTAAGGCCTTTGAGATTACTTACATCAATGTTATATTTGCCAACTTTGAGGCATCGCGCTGTATTTGGGTCATCATCAACACTTCTTGGTAAGGTATAAAGAGCTTTGAACTTTTCATATTCTTCCCGGTATTTGATCTATAGTGATAAAGCACAAAGAAAGAAACATCATTTGGGAGAATAATGCATCCATATTGTCATAAGAGCATGAGACTGAATAAGAAGATCTCATCTCTGAGATGCAGCCAACATGGGGTCATCACTTCTCCGAGACCCTTTCCTCATCTGTGCATGGTCATACTTGCCCAAGTTTCCTGAGGCTTAATCCAGACTATAGCTGAAAGTACTTTCTAAACTGTAGAAAGCGATACAACTGTAGTTACTGTTTGTAATACTTCTATGCCAATACTAGTACTGCTGCTACAACTCACTCATTTAAAAGATTATGTAATTTTAAAATCATCTCTTGCCCTGGCCGGTGTGGCTCAGCTGGTTGAGCATCATCCCATGTACCAAAAGGCCACCAGTTTGACAGTCAGGGCACATGCCTGGTTTGTGGGCTCAATGCCAGTAGGGGGCGTGCAGGAGGCAGGGGATAGCTATTTCTTCTCTCTCATTGATGTTTTTCTTTCTCCCTCTCCTTTCCTCCTTCTTTCTTAAATCAATAAAAACATATAAAATAAGCTCTTTTGTAATGTGACTTTGTTTTTTCTTAATCATAAATGAGAGGAAAGATGAGTTCAGGAATTTCTTTATTTTTAATAATTGACAAACCTGATGCTTAAGAGACACAATCTTTGACTTTCACTTTGTACAAGGGTTTCCACATATACAGTGCAATCAACTTCTACAGAAAATCCAGCTTTTAGTTTGTAAGTTGTATTGCCTATTAATTAATGCTGCATGACTTCCTGAACTAGGAGGCAAGGCCCTACAGAGACTAAGTTATCTCCTAGCACACGATCTAACAGCAATTCCCTCACAGCTCAGAACCCGAGTCTCAGTGCAACAACAGGAGACAGGAGTATTGGTGTTAGCATTCTTGCAAATCTCTTCCTTGACTAAAAACCAATCAGAATTTTTTAGAACATTAGTTCACATGTTCCTTACAGCTAACCCATTCCTCAATTATAAAGAAGGTAATATTCAAAGACACCTTTAAGAAAAAAACAAAAACCTGCTTTTGGAATCCTTCTTTTAATGGGTTAATTTCTCAGTGTCCCACTTGTTCCAAAAACAAGTTGCCAAGAATCCTGCCTCTGTAATTTTTCCATGACAAAAATGAATGGATGAATGAATAAGCCTCTGCTAAGTTTTCTAAACTACTATCTACAAAGCTTCTTTTCTGAAGTGAAGAGAGAGAGAGAGAGAGAGAGAGAGAGAGAGAGAGAGAGAGAGAGAATGAATTTGTGTTGGCCTGAGCAGGCGGGTCAGGTGCGGCCAGGCCCGGAGCAGCAGCTGCCAGGCTGGGAGCGGCCAGGCCGGGGGAGCAGGCGGGTCGGGTGCGGCCAGACCCGGAGCAGCGGCTGCCAGGCTGGAAGCGGCCAGCCCGGGGGAGCAGGCGGGTCGGGTGCGGCCAGGCCCGGAGCAGCGGCTGCCAGGCTGGGAGCGGCCAGCCCGGGGGAGCAGGCGGGTCGGGTGCAGCCAGGCCCGGAGCAGCGGCTGCCAGGCTGGGAGCCGCCAGGCCCGGAGCAGCAGCAGCCAAGTCCAGAGCAACTAGGTCGGGAGTGGCAGTGACCAGACCCGGAGCAGCTGGTTGTGGAACGAACCAGAGCAACAGAGGCCAGGCCCTGAGCAGCCAGGCCCGGAACAGCTCGCTCCTCGCCTGCCCCTGCCCCACTGCTGCTTCTCAGACATGGCTGGAAACTTTCGTGGGAACTTGAGGGTCTGCTGAACCAAGTGATGAAGGCTTAGATCTGGATGTGTTGAGTTAGTATAGGGCTGGGGTGTTGATCTGTGAGTGCCTTGGGTGGGGCCTGGATGAGGCTGGTGGACCTATTGGGAAATGTCTTTTGTGTGAAGTGTATCATTGGGCATGTGGAGGTATTATTGATTTGAGAAAATGCTAAGTAACTGATTTACTATCTGAAAAGGGATTTACTATTGGGGAAAGGGAGGGAAGAAGAGACTGAACATAAACTGCACCTATGGATGAGGACAATGGGGGATGGGGAGGGGTCGGAGGGTGGCGTGGGATCCTGGTGGAGGGGGGAAGAAATGAGGAACCTTTGTAATAATATGAACAATAAAGATTGATTTAAAAAAAAAAAAAAAGAATCAACCAGTGAAGGCATAAATAAGCGGAACAACAACAACAAAAAAAAACACACAAAAAAAAGAATTTGTGTTGGCCTGCAATATAAAATGAATTTCTCACTGTGGGTCTTGATAAAAAAAAGTTATGAGAAAAACTGGTCTAAAATGTTACATAAAATGTTCACAATTAAGGGGAAAAGTTTCTAAAGAGATAAAGTTCCTGAAAGAGAACTGGGTTTATTAGAACTGCAATGAAGGTTACAGGAAATTTCATAATAAAAGGTTTTACTTAAGAACATTTTAGGCATAAAGGGTTAAAAGTCACAAGATTTTATACTATATTTAAACAGCCTACGTGATTTAGAATTTTTTTTTTTTTTACTATCATGTCTATACCTAAGAAAAATTGTGCTTCAAAAAAGTAGAATTTAAAAAGTTTTAAACTTTTATATATTTTATGGTTATGAAGATAATGATTTACTTTTTAAATCCTTTATTCCTGATGAACAGTTATACCATTCACTGGTTTATTTTTGTACTACAACCCACATAATTCTATTGGAAGAAAGCCTATTATTCTGTATGGCATATTTTGCCTTCTGTCTATCCCCACTCCTGAAACAGTATATCCAGCTAGGTCATTTGCAGGCAACCAGCCTAAAAGGCCACAGCTGTTCCTTAATACAGGTGTTTGTGATTCTCTCTAGACTTCAGGGCCCTTGAGAAGAAGAAATATTAGTAAGTGCCCAGAGTCTGTGATGGCTGAGCGCCTGGAATTATTTGCTGGTGACATACTCCTATGGAAGTGCTGGGAATACTGGGCAACATGTGTTTCAGCCAAAAAGATCCTGGGGGTGGTGAGCTGGAGAGGGCAGGAAGTGGGTGGCAAGCCTATCACATGTGCAGTGACTTACATTGCTGGACAGGTCCTTCTGGTTCTTGGCGTGTGTCAGGGACATGGTGGTGGAAGGCAGGATGTAGCTGGTGGCTTTCACCTTTTCCCAGGCCTCCTTGTACAGGTTCTGTGGGGGGTTAAAAACCTTGTGAATATGGAAAAATACACTCTGGAAAGCTTCTAAGTAGTAGATTTCCCCATTTCTGTCCTTAGACATGCCCTAGCAACCTCCAGATCTTCTCACTCTGGAGGATCCAAGTGCCCCTAAGTGAGTAACTGGTTTAATGCCATGACAATAATTTCGTAGCCCATTATTTTGTTCTCTAGCATAGTACCTATCACAGTTTGATAGTTACCAGAGTTTTTGATGCCATATTCATTCCCCATAGGTCTAAGAATTTCTGGAGGGTGAAAACCACTAACATTAAAACACACACACACACACACACACACACACACACACACACACTTGTTTATCCTCTCCTACTTTTATGTAGCTAGTGAAAGCTCAAAATGCATTTGTTTCCACTCCTACATATTCTTTTATCCAGGAGAAATGAAAACTTATGCACACACAAAAACCTATATGCAAATGTATATAGCAGCTTTATTCATAATTTGTAAAATCTGGAAACAACTCCAATTCCTTTAACTGTGAATGGATAAACTAACAGTGGGACACTTATGCAATGGAATATCATTCTGCAATAAAAAATAAACTACTGATTTATGCAGCAATGTGCATAATACATAAAGTCATTTTGTCAATAGAATGAAGCCAGGCCAAATGTGTATATACTATAATTTCCATTTACATGACATTCTGTAAAAGTTAAACTTTAGGAATAGCAAACATATCTGAGGATGCCAGGTGAGAAGAGTGGGGCAACAAAAGAGAAATTTGGAAGGGATACAGAATATTTATGTGTCTGGACTGTGGCGGTAAATACATGACTTTGTGTTTATCAAAAGCCACAGTACTATATACCTCAAATAGTAAAATTTACAAATAATAAGGAAGGAGAACTAAAATGGAGTACGAACTGTAACAAATTTTATATATACATATATATATAAAAGTCTAAGTGATCATCTAACCATTCGACAGTAGCTATTACACACAATGACCACCAGAGGGAAGATGCTTTGACAGGTAACTATGATGAGCACTGACCACCAGGGGGCAGACACTCAACTCAGGAGCTGCCAAGCTATGATGACTTGGCAGCTGCGGTTCTGAGGTGTCAGCCGGAACCGGAGAGGAGCGAGCCCGATTCTGGGGTGCATCACCCGAGAACTGCCCTCTTGCAGTCCAGGACTCCTCAGAGGATGTTGGAGAGCTGATTTGGCCCAATCTTTGCAGGCCAGGCTGCGGGACCCCACAACTGCACAAATCTGAGCACCAGGCCTCCAGTTATATTATAAAAGGGCAACAAGACTACAGTGGTGGAAGTGGGGAAGAAAACAACTGATTTAGGTTATTTTGGAAAATGATATTTTGACAAAGAAAAAAATTGAGAAGTAATCAGATTGTAGGAGACTAAGGAGGCATGAAAACTAAATACAAAGTGGGATCCTAGATTCTATCTTAAAAATTAATGGTACGTTAATGAAAAAACTGGTAAAATCTAGATAAAGTCTGTAACATTCTAACAATGATAATTTCTTAGTTTTGATCATTATACTACAGAAAGAAAAACTGAGGAAATTCTATGGACTATTCTTGAAATTGTTTTGTAAATCTCAAATTATTTCCAAATGAAGCTTTTATTTTTTTATTTTTTATTTTGCTATTTCTTTTTATTTATTTATTTTTTTATTGATTATAGTATCACATAATTGTCCTCACCCCCCCATTCCAAATGAAGCTTTTAAAAAGGTTTGTTGAATTAATCAATTGAGAAGAGTTTAAAAAAGGGTTTGTTTGTTTGTTTGTTTGTTTTTGGTTTATAAGCCACTGGTCACTAGAGAAGCCAGAGGACATGTTCAGGATTAACAAAGAATAGCTCCAACAGTACCTGCCTGCCACATGGAGGAAGCTGCCGAATTTGGGTAAACTGTATGTAATCATGCAATAGTCAAATTGGGGCTCATCTAATTGCAACGAAGAGGATTTATGAGCTAAAGTAGGAATTTGAAGGTCCAATAAAGAAACAAAAACTGGACAAACCTTTGGGAATAAAATTCCTATCCTTTTATGTTTTTATTGTCTCCAAAGCTGGAGATGTGGGAGGAAGGAGGTAACTCAAATTAGAGAGGAAAGAAAACTCAACTCACACTGCTATAAAGATCCTTGAGATTCTTGGTCCTGTCATAATCCACTGTGTCCAGTATTGTCGTATACTTGTCCTTAGTCTGATGATAATTTTCTTTATATCTCACCTACAGATAAAGAAAGATGGGTTATTCTTTTCTGCTGTTGAAAAGATGTAAAGACAAATGAAGGCTCGTTCTGGAAGGGAAGATAAGCAAGACGCACCTCACTGGCATTGATGCCGCTCTGAACAGCAGTCACGTAAACTGGTGTGTCTGTGACCAGGCTATAATTCTGTAGATTGTCTTTACTTGCTGCCGAGTATTGTATCTGTGAACAAAAACCAATGTCTCTATGAGGGTAAAAAAGGGGTGTGCAGTCAGATGTAGCAGCTTGTGCCAACTTAGATGTGCCTTATTCTTAGGCTGGGTTTCTGAGTTTCTCCTAACAAAGAGGCGAAACCAAGGGTGGTCCTGCAGATTTTGGGTGGCTGTCAAAACTAATAGCTTCTCCTGACCAAGAGTCAGGTCTGGATCTTTTCTGGGCCTCCTTCCTTATTTTACCATCTTTCCCATGCCTATACTCCACTCTGAGGGCAGCCTGTCAATTTCTCTCTCTCTCTCTCTCTCTCTCTCTCTCTCTCTCTCTCTCTCTCTCTCTCTCTCTCTCTCTCTCTCTTTTTTACACCAAGCAACTTACATGGTTCCAGCCCCTCAATTTTGACATTCTGCTAGTCTGCTCTATCCAAGCTGAGCCATATGCTAGGAGATTTCCCAAATATCTATGTCTTCACTACAGAACTTACATATCTACGGTCAAAGCATGCATTTGTATTCCACCATCTACACGTTAACCTGATCAACTAAGGTCCTGATGCTTAAGGTAGTTTACTAGGAAACACTTTCCAGACAACGTTCTGTTAGAAACGTCTGATGCCTTAAACTACTGAGAGACTCACACTGAGAGGGTCCAGCACCAGAGCAGGCCAGCAGGAGAGGTTTGACTGGGCAGTGGACCTTCGGCTCCCTTTGACCATGCATTGCTAGAACAGCTTTCTCTGCCTGGGCACCGGGGCAACCTGGCTAAACCCCACTGCGAGCACCATGAGTTCCATTGGTCCACAGCCAATGAGTCCTTCTAAGAAGATTGGCTTACCTGACTCTGAAGGTCATACGACTTCTTGGCTTGGAGGATCTGGGGTGTATCCCAGACATAGCATCCAATGCCTTTCAGCCAATTCAAGTCATCTTTATACACATTCTGCAAGGAAGAAGAAATGGCGAAAGCTATAGGTACTCAATGAATTTGCAGGGGAATGCTTTGATAATTTCTGACCAGCTCTCGGCTGTGCTTGGTGGTCATAGGGTGGACTTCTCAACAGCTGGGAGGTCTTTAAAGCCCTGGCCTAACAAAGCTTAGGAGGAGAACAATAGCTAAGTTTTAGTCTAGTGTTAGACAGACTAAATATTGAACATGGATATCCATGGCTCAGAAGGAATTCTTACACCAAAAGGTGGCTATTCATGCCACTTTGTGTTGAAAAGCACCAGGGTTTATGAATATAGGGATAATTAAATAATTAATGTGGGGGGAGGGGGACAGGGCAGGCTGGGTGAATCCTGTAATTAAGTTAAGCTGCAGGAAAGGCATACATCACTCAGGATCTCCTGTGCGTTCCGGGCCAGTACAACACTGGGTTCTTCTGGGAGAGACGTCCACTGGTGGAAGTAGTGGCGGTACTCGAGGTCGCTGAGGATGTACTGGCACTTTTTGGCCAGCACGTGGTTCATCATATCATTGGGGATGTGAACATTCGCTTTGGTGTCCTCATAATGTTTTCTGTAGTTCAACTGGAGAAGAATATTTTTTAAAAGACAAAAATAAGAAAGGAAGACGTACATTATCCAGATCAATCTCTTAGAGTTTCATTTCCAATATAGATCAGTAGCTTTAGAATAGACTAAAGTTAAACAAACATACTATAATATGTTCTTTGGTAAAAAATTCCCATGACTTTATAACGCAGGATAGATAGTGACCTTATTGTCAAACACAGAACCCTCACTGTGAGTTTGGTAATGAAGAAGGGAGGGAAAAAAAGGTGGAAGACTCAAATTAGGCGAAGACAGACACGCTAAATGACAGGGGTGGGACAGGACTGATACATTCCTCCCCACCCCATCCCCAGCTAATCTCGAACCAAAGGGCAGATCAGAAGTAAAGAGCTTTGCTCACCGCACTCCTCATCTTCTGGAAATCCAGGCAGTGAACCACACTGGGGAACTCACTGATTTCTTTTCCAGCCAGGTAGTGGCCCTTCTGCTTCTCAAACGTCTCTTTGTATTTAAGCTGTGAAACAGGTACAACGTTGAGCACCACTGGGATTTTCTAATCAGCCCTCGTTCCCCCGTGAAGACTCTCAAGATTCTGAGAGAAAAATGTCCTACTGACCTCACTGTTCACATAGTCAGCGTGCTTGGCTCCGACAATGGGGATGTAGCGTTCATCCAAGGTATAGCCGTAGGCCTTGGTTCCCTCCCAGGCCCCTTTATACAGTATCTAGAACAACAACAAAAAAAATGTGTGTTGACAAAAGTTTACTTCCAGATGCCACCAAAAAGAAAGTGGTAAAATCAAAGTAAAAGATTTATGTTTAAAGGCAAGGCTTCGATTTCTGTTTTAGTGTATCTACCTAGGAACAAGGTAGAGTCTTTTGGCTTGTTGCAAATGAAATCTACAAACTCTGAGGCATTTTATGACAGAGGTTAACTATATTTACAAATCTAATAAAAGCAAAAACCAATTTGCTCCTAGAGATTAAACACACAGGCATACTATGTGCACACATACATTGTCCTTTAAATTAGTCGAATTAAAATTGGAGGGCAAGTCCTCCATTCCTTGGCTGGAGATGTTTGTACATGACTGCTGAAAAGCTTTTTTTGTCTTTTCTCTGATGGTGGTGCTCAGTCCTGTGTGCACTAGGAGCTGGTACAGCACGTGTTACACTATTTGTGGGTCTGTTCCTCTCACTTATATGAACTCTTGAAGAGCTTGTCTCATTTGAGCTTTAGCTCCTCAGTGCCTCTTACAGCACCTGGCACATCACAGTAGCTCAAAATATACCAGGTGAATAAATGCTACACGCTCTGAATAATATGCTACTACTTTTAATAAACAAAATTAATACAGTAGGTGTACTAGATTTCCTTTATAAATCCATTTGTTCATAAAATCATCCAAGAAAGTGAATAATGACAGGAGCATAAAGTTAGGAACTGAGTTGTGTATCACATAAAATAGAACTTACGGTACTGTAGAGTTTTCCCATGTCTTTGGAGTGGGTGATATATGGTGTCTCCGGAGAAAATATATACTTTCCCTTTATTAATTTATTAAATGTTTCTTTATATTTTATCTAAGGAGAGCAAGCAAAACAAAACAAAACCTTTGGTTACTATAAATGTATATTTAAAGTTTCATAAAATCTACCTAGTTAGATAATAATCAGTCTATATTTAGAAATTAAAATGGGCTGGAGATTAAAATTTCAGTCCATTTCAGCTAATGTAATTAAATAACTTGGACAAAAATGTGGATATTATCTAAAAGCGAGCACAATTATACACTTACGGGTGGCTTTTAAGACATTCCCTCCCAAAGACTATCTTATAAACCCTCCTCCCTTAATTTTCTTACAAACCAATCTGTTCCATGATAGATAGGCTTCCCAGTCTATGTACCTCATTATACATAGAGCAAACTTACATCACTTTGATTAACTGAGTTAAACTTGGCCAAAACAATCTCTGGAGTATCTTCCACGCTTGTAAAATTAGGATAGTTGTCAAGAGCAGCCTTCTTATATTTCACCTGCAGAGATAGAGATGAAGATGGGTCTCCCCTTCTAAAGTACCCATTCCCACAGGGCAGGTAAGGAGGACAGGCAATTAGGTAAGAATAACAGGCTCTGTGTACCTGGTTCACCATTTCTTGGTTATTAGTAACCCTCACATGTTCCACTGAATCCAGGGGGATCCAGCCAATGCCTCGGAGCCATTCCAGGTCGGCTTTGTAGATATTCTGAGAACAGGAAGAGACATACAATGTAGGGGAAATGACTGCACACAGGGTTACAGACGGCAGATTAAAAACAAAGTTTTTTTTTTTTAGCATTTAAAGGATTTCAATCTTTTGTAGCTGTTGTCTTTTCCACTCAATCATGATTTCGTCTGTACACCTGAGCAATAAGTCTTGAACCTCTTACTATGAACGAGGAACCTCCTTCTAGTCAAGCCTGCCTCTACATTTCCCCACCGAGTTCCTGGATTCTCCCAGGGCACCCCCACGGAATGATGAGGAGTTGCTAATATGATTCAAGTTCCATAATGGTCTGTCTGCTGAGGCTCAAGTTATTAGCAACTCTCAAGTCTTTTCTTTTACTCCCTGTTTCTGTATTGGTAGTGATGAGACCTATGAAGGGTTAGCTTTTTCGTGTGCCTGAGCATCATGTCAATGCATTGTGATGTTTATGTTCCTACAGACAGCTGGTGTCGGGTAGAGATCTTGATTCAGGCATCAGTGCAAGGTGGCCTAAGCCATATGATCTACCCTAGCTTTACCACACTCCGAATGAGAAATTCTGGGCCCTCATGTGGCTCATCAGTATTTTGCATCCATTTTGCTCTGATTCCTTGCAAGCAACTGCTTCATTAATGCCTTGAAGAATGAGATGTTTGGCAAAGCAAGAATGGGGCCTTCCCAGGGCCTTGACTATTCTATCATGCAATGTTGTCAGAATCCCAACTCAATTCCCACCCAAGCCGATTATTATTTTAAATCAGTTGATAGTTTTTTTTATGCAAATGTGAGTGAGGAGTTGCTAAGGCAATGGTTCAAAAGCAGCAGATTAAACAAAAGAAAAAAAAACGAGGTAGAGGTTTACTCAGAATGCAGCCTGTAGGTGGTGCTGTCACTCATTCACTGCTCTGATCATGCTCTACGTCATTTCAATTCTACTTCAATTCCTCCCGGGAACAAACTAAATATTTATAGCTCCAAGTTCCCGAGAGTGGTGATCCCAGAATGCTACTTACAATTCTCAGGGTATACTGTGTGTTTCTAAGTAATTAAGAAACAAAGGTCACTTACATCGCTCTGTAGTTCATAGGCCTTCTTGGCCTGAATCACATCATTTTGGTCAGGAAGACATGTCCATTGGTGCAGGTAATTACGGTAATCGATATCACTGATGAGGGTCTGCCCTTGCTTGGCGGCCAACACCGACACCGTGTCAGCAGGTATGTTTATCTTGGCCTTTGTTTTATGATAGTCCTCTTTGTACAGTCGATCATTCTGAATCTGGCCCGCATGCTCAAACCACACTAGGTGAGGGTCATCCCTCATGGTCGGCACACCAACATAATGACCTTTTTGCTTTACATGCTCAGCTTTGTATTTCAGCTGGTGGGGAGAAGCATGGAGATTCATTCCATCAGCTTTGATTAGCACACAGGGCAAAGGGGATGTTGGCCATCTTTTTGTGTCACAGCCAAACCCCAAGAATAAATAACAAAAAACATTGAAATAGATAAATAAATATTGAAAATATCAAGTAAAAATGGGGGGCGGGGGCGGGGAGGATTTCAATCTGTCTTTCTTGGACCAGCATCTTATATGATGTGGTTTTATCCTGTTATGTGAATAAAGGCACTGATTTTAATCACATGGGGGGGAAAAAGTCACTTGTTTTCTAATTCTGGCAATATTTTATTTGAAGGTCTAGCAATCTTAGGAAAACTAGGGAGAAGAAGGAAAAGTGAAGATGGTGATGGATGTTAGCCAGACTTGTGGTGATCATTCCATGATATGTACAAATACCAAATTATTATGTTGCACACCTAAAACTAACACAATGCTATATATATATATATATATATATATATATATATATATATATATATATATATGTCAATTTTACCACAATAAAAAATAAATTTAAAAAGTAAAGAACTCAAACAATAGCCTTTAAAGAGCCAGGGATTGGGTGTGTATGGGAGGGGGGCAAGGGGAGGGTGAAGACTCCCAAAGCCCATAGGAAAAGGATCAGAAAGGAGCAGGTGCTCCCACCACCCCTTAGCTTAGCCACGATGCTATGCCTTAGCATAATAAGCATAATCGGGTTATCCCACGTGCAAGGCCCGGCCTTTGCAAAGTGCACTTATCACAGGATGAATTACCTCGCTCTGAACATCACTAGAATGATGGGCGTGAACAAACGGCACAGCATCCGGAGGCAAAATGTAGCCCGTGGCTTTCTGTTTCTCCCAGCCTTCCTTGTAGAGGTACTGGAAGACAGAGGGCCGCACAAAGGGTCACACACAGAGTCAGAGTGAAGGGAGAAGTCGTGTGCAGACAGCTCCATAGCCCCCTACAGAGTCCCAGGCATCTGAGTACCACCTTACCTGGTCCAGTATCCGGGCTGCCTCCTGGGCAGTGTGCAGCAGGGGGGTTTCTGTGAGGGTGTATTTTGATTTGGTGTCATTCCAATCTTTCCGGTATTTAATCTGGAAACCAGAGGCAAAGGGCAAATGAATTGATGTTAAGAAAGCATAACCTAAGCAAACTAGCGTCAGTGATCTATCTCAACGATTAAAATCTGTGTCTCAGACGAGGATTGCATGCCGAGTGTGAGCAGGTGGAAAAGCTTTGGAAACGCCATCTCCATGACGGGGCACTCTTCGAATGGCAGCCACGCACTTACGTCGTTTAGGATTTCACCACTTTGTTTCGCTGTCACATAATCCACTCTGTCATCCACAGGAGTAAAGTTCAGACTTTCGATTTTTGTGCGATACTTATTCTGCGGGAAAGAAAAGAGCTTTTAGACAATCGTAGTCACTGGTCCTGTGTGAGCTGAGAAAGATATGCTAAATTTAACGATCCTTTTCTACTAGACACATGGAACACCATATTTGAATGGCATTTTCTTGGCAATTTGGCTTCCTTCTTAGCATTCATCCATTTATTTATTTATTTAAATATTTGTATTGATTTCAGAGAGGAAGCGAGAAGGAGAAAGAGATAGAAACTTCAATGATGAGAAAGAATCATTGATCGGCTGCCTCCTGCACGCCCCCTACTGGGGATCGAGCCCTTAACCCAGGCATGTGCCCTTGACTGAAATGGAATCGGGAACCTTTCTGTCTGCAGGCCAGTGCTCTATCCACTGAGCCAAACCAGCTAGGGTCTTAGCATTTTATTTTGAACAAAAGACTGGCTTCTTATTTCTCCCGCAGGTTTTAAAGTATCAGGTTTGCTTAGCTCCCAAAGTCATGCAATACATCATCATATATATTACATGTATCATAATACTCAATACGTTTTTTTTTAAACTAGACAAAGTTCATTCCAAGTATTTTCCTGTTGCTGAAAATATAAGTTTTTCATATGTACAATTCCAAACATAATGAGTGTGCTGTATATTATATTATGGATTGATCCCATAGTATCATAGCAACAGCACAGGATTATTTTGGGGGAAAGAAAGTATGCCTGGCTCAAATGACAGCAATTGAAATTGTTTAAATTGCTCATAGGTAATGACTAAATTTTGGCTTGTGTATTTTTTTTTTAATGCTCACCTGAAAATACGTTTAGATAGAAAAAAGGGGGGGGGGAGAAAAGGGGAGAGAGAGAGAGAGAGAAAGAGAGAGAGAGAGAGAGAGACAGAGAGAGAGAGAGAGAGAGAGAGAGAGAGAGAGAGAGAGAGAGAGACAGACATTGATGTGAGAGTGAAACATTGATTGGTTGCTTCCCATATGTGTCCTGACCAGAGATCAAACCTGCAGTCTTTTGGCACACAGGATGATGCTTCAATCAACCGAGCCACCCAGCCAGAGCTTGTGTATTTTTTGTTCATTCTCTTAAGAAGTGTAACGATTGGCAGGATAAAACGTTAGAATACCTCACTGAAGATATCCCCGGCATATTTGGCGTGATTGACAGAAACGGAGTCATTGGGCATCCACCCGATCCCACGCAACCATTCCAAGTCGGCCTTGTAAACAGCCTGTGGAAAAAGGGGGAGGCAAAGTCAGCAATCCTGCCCACAAGTCCTGTTTATTCTGTCCATTGGTCTGATGGAGAAATACAATTCAAGAATGATTTTTCAAACAGCCAGCCAGGTGACATGTAAATTAATTAGGAAGCCAGGTGGCAAAAACGGAGTAGCAAACTGAGAGACATATTATCTATTTAAGAGGGGTGAGCTTCCGATCAGCTAGAGGTTATTGTTGTCTGGGCTCACGCACATTCAGAGCTTCCTCCTCTGACTTTTTAAGAGAAATGGAAAATCCTAGATTTATATACAAAATGTTCTGATCTAAAAATTCTGGCAACTTAATTTAAAAAATTTAAAACCTGTGTCAACTAAAAAAGCATATCTATACCTCCACCCTGTCCATGGACTGCCACTATTTTATTTATGATATAAAACTGTTGCTACTTAAATTCTATGGAAATCATATTTTTCGTGTAATTGTCTTCCTTAAGGACTATATTCACACTACCATTTATTTCTTGACACAAAGTCTAGATCCTTTATGGCTTGGTGAATTTGATACCATAATATCAGGTGTAACTAAAACCAAATTCTTGGCAGTATAAAAACGTGGAGTTCTGATCCAAGGACTTAACGACATAAACTTTCTGGGAGCCCTGGCAAAATACAGAAGAGCTCATCCTAAAATGCAGCCCACTCACATCGCTCTGCAGTTCGTAGGCCTTTTTGGCCTGAATCACATCGTTCTGGTCGGGCAGGCATGTCCACTGGTGCAGGCGTTGGCGGTAGTCAATGTCGCTGACCAGAGTCTGGCAGTTTTTAGAATGCAAGATGGAAAGCATATCCACAGGGCTTTGGAACTTAGTCTTCCATTTGGCCCAGCTCAGCCGATACTCCCGTTCATTCTGAAGCTTGCCAGCTATGAGGGCCCACCGGATCCTGTTGTCGTCCCTGGCGGTGAGGGTGCCCACGTAGTGGCCCTTCTGCTTCTCGTGGTCAAGCTTGTATTTATACTGGAGACACAAAAACACAACAGATGGATCACAGCTCGTACTCTCCATGCACCCAGGGCATTTGCTTACAAGGCTGAGACGTTAACCCAGGCCGCACTCACATCACTGGCGATCTCCCTGGAAGCCTTGGCAGACTGGATAGGGATGGCATCCAGCCGCACGTCGCAGCTCATCTTCATTTCGTCCCAGCCCTCGCGGTAAATTTTCTGAGGAGAACAGAGGGTATCACTCCAGGTTCAAAATTACCAATAACTCCCAGGGCTCATGTAGAATTATGATCAGAGGGGTGCAGTTGTGAAGACCCAGAGCCAGTTAAAGAAAAGGGGATAGGTGAGAGAATCATTCTGCACCGTGGGACTGAAGTATAAAATCATGTCTGGAGTCCAAATATCTGAGATTGACCTTTTTAATTTCAATCATAGCCTCCACATAGTTGTAAATGGTTTATGTAAAAGAGTTGAGCTGCTTCATGGATTGGTAGCTTTGGGATACATTCCAGTTCAGACATGAATGGGCTAGCATTGAATTTCTTTATTCAATCATTTAATTTATTTAATTTTAAAACTCAATTCAATTTTGTAATCTTTAAAAGCAGAAACTTTTTAAATTTGTGAGGCTTTCTCCCCAATGTGGTTTCTTAAATTTTATGTGATTGATGATGCATATTGTTTGGGAATGTTAGATGTTCCCGCTGAAGTACAATTGAGTATTAATAGCCATTTAAAAAAAAATGTAGTGTCTTTTTGTTTGTAAAGAGAAGTCAATTAAGAGACTGGTTTATAGATAATTTTATAAAGACTACACTTTCTGGGATCATTTCTATAATTAATTACAGAGAACTTTAAAAATGTATGTTCATATTTAAATAGGCACAGTCTATAGTGACAATGTCACAAAGACTCAGAAATAACAGCAATTTAAATGTATGATTTAGAAAACATACCAATCAGTATGGGACCCTGAACAGTGAAGAAAGAAAAGGTGAATTTTAATTATTGATAAATTCATGGCCTTTGCATATCTGAACTATGACTATGAAGAGTTCCACTGATGATATTGTAGCACCAACTCAATGATTCTAAACAAACCGGAGTCTGTTGCAGTACTTACATTGCTCACATTGAGCGCATTGGCTCTGGCGAGATTAATTTCTGGAGTATCTGGCATTATGTGGATCGAAGTTTTATCCTTGTCCCAAACTTCTCTGTATTTTGGCTATGGAAAGAACCGATAACAAAAAAAGTTATTTCATAATTTGTAATTTTGCTGGTTCCACTGCGCAACTTTTAATTTTTCTGATCCAAAACATTTTCAGATTTAGAGTCTTTTCACATAGATTACTCAAATTTGATATACAATCTATATTACTGTATTAAAACCTTTTATTAATACTTTGAGTTTGGGTTTAAAATTAGAAAGTAATAATAGAGCAATTCTGTCAACATTACTTATTAAAATATTCACTATCATCAATATTATGATTATTAGATTATCAGGTTAATGATGATCTTTTCCTTTTCGTTTGTTTTGTTTTGTTAATCCTCAACTAAGGATATATATATATTTTAAATATATTTTATTGGTTTTTCACAGAGAGGAAGAGAGAGGGACAGAGAGTTAGAAACATCAATAAGAGAGAAACATCGATCAGCCGCCTCCTGCACACCCCCTACTGGGGACATGCCCGCAACCAAGGTACATGCCCTTGACCAGAATCGAACCTGGGACCTTTCAGTTTGCAGGCCAACATTCTATCCACTGAGCCAAACTGGTCTTGGCTAGGATATTTTTTCATTGATTTTTAGGGAGAGTGGTAGGGAGAGGGAAAGACAGAACATCGATGTGAGGGAAGAGTCTCACAGGGCCTGGGCAATGATTTCATTTATTTATAATATGAACGTAATTTTATTATAGAGAAATGGTACTTACAATACTAATATTTTCAGCATTTGACTTAGCAAGAACAACTTCCGGTGTGTCGACGATGCTTGTGTACTTGAGATTCACCACAGGTGTCCGGTAGACACTGTCTCGTAGGATCTCCTGGGCATTTTTGACTCTCAGTACTTCGGGAGACCCATCCGGCATCCAGCCAATGCCACGCAACCACTCCAAGTCAGCCTTGTAGATAACCTGAGAAAGAAAACAAAGTCAGCTAGAAACTGGCTTTTTTAAAAATTAGTAAAATAGGCAAGCAATTTTGTATGTTACATTTTATCTTCCACAAATAGCAATAAAAAAATGAGTATTCTATTGACAAACGTAACTTCTCGCATACACAGTAGTGCTTTGTTCTGTCTTTCCTCTGTGGCAGGGGGTCCGTGTTTGGGTGCATGTGCACATTTTTAAAGGCAGAAAGATGTAGAAAGAGCTCCCTGTTTGGGGGATGCATGGAAAATTTTTGAATAATATTAGATAATCATCCTACTATTCAATGTGGAATTTAAAGCAAGAATAATGGGCTCTTTAGTAAGTTCTCCACAAAGCAACCAGAATGATCTTTTCAAAGTTTGAAATTCAAATCTGCTGTCACCACATCCCCTCATCCTGTGACTTCCCATTGGTCCTAGGATAAAGATCAAAACCCCTAACATGGACTGGAAGGCAAGGGATGATGTAGCACAAGTACGGACCGTTCTCCCAGCCCCATCTTACGTGTACTTCCCTTCCACCTGTGCATTCTGATCAAACCGGCCTTCTTTCAGTTTGTGGTTTGCATATGGCCCCCTATGCATATGTTGCTCATTCTGCAGGAACATCCTGTGTGTCCTCCTCAGAGCCACCTCCTACTCTTCCTTCAGAGCCACTAAGTTAGCACTTTCTTAGAGAAGCCTTCCCGCCTCTTAGGAGCCAGAGGTCACTCCTCGGCCATCTTACCATTTGCTGACAGTCTCCAATTAACACCTATTTCTTTGTTATCATGTGAGTTTCTAAAGTCAGGAACTTGGTCTCATTTCTTCTTTATTTGAAATTGTATCTTCAGTGCTTAGCACAACACTTGGCACATAATGTGTCTAATATTTTAAAAAGACAATTAAGAATTCAATTCCTACCATAGCTTCACAATTCTGATCTCAATTGTTGTTCTTTTTTGACCCCAAGATGGCAAGCACCTCCTTTTGAATTGGGATTTTCACGTTCTTGATTATCTAAATGTTTCTCTAGATATAGGTAAGTGGCAAACCATATCAAATTGCTTTATGTTAAGCACCAGTTAATTTTATAAAAAACCATGGTGTTCTTCAGAAACAATATCTTAATAACTAAGTAATAAGATACAAATATCAGCCTAAAAAGGTAGTAAGAGGATTGAAAAAGGTAGGAAACTGTCTACCTGTATGAAGAATGACATACCCAGAATTTAGGGGGGGGAAAAAAGGATTCTCAACAAAGATTACATACACATTTTGAAATTTCTCTCCCTCATTCTCTAAGAACCTGATTGCTGTGCTTGTCTCAGCTCACTAAGGTGGGTCAGGTTAGTGAACAGACTGAATTTCTTGAGAAAACGGTCTACATTCACCAGGTGGCAATTCATTTCAAGTGATGGGAGTACATCCTGCAGGAAACTCATTCATCATAAGAAAGCATGCTTAGGGGAACCAAGTTCACATAATTTAAAAAAAAAGGTATCCCTTCTATAGAAAAAATAAATAGCCCGAGAGAATCATCATTTCCAAAACATTGAATGGGCATAAAATATGAGTAAATCTAAAAGCACTTCAGGTAAATTAATGAAGCACCAGGCTGTGAAGAACACCAAGTTAAGGGACACCAGTGAGTCTGGAGCATGCTGCTAACCTTTGGAATTAATTTTACGGAAAATAGCCTTCATCAATGCATAGCTGAAGGACCAGGACAGCCCTTAATAAACTACAAACACTGCCCATGTTCACACATTCATAGAAAAATTATGAAAATAAAAACTTAGCAACAAAAACGAAAATGTTTTGAATAAACCCAACAGTAAGGTAGACAATAAGCTTATGTAGGGGGTTGTGTTTTCCCGCGCACTGGAAGGAGCGGTCAGGCAGAGCCGTGGAAGGCTTCCTTCCTGGGGACAGCTCACCCCCTCAGGCCCCTGCCCCAGTGCTCCCCTCACAGGCACACACTTACATCACTCTGCAGGTCATATGCGTTCCTGGCGTGGATCACATCGTTCTGGTCAGGAAAGCAAGACCACTGGTGCAGGTACTGGCGATAGTCCACGTTGCTTGCTAATGCCTGGCCTTCTTTGGCAGCGCTGATGGACACCATGTCCCCCGGGATGGAGATCTTAGCCTTGTGGTCGTTGTAGGCCTTTTTGTACAGCCTGTCATTCTGCATCTTTAATACATTTGCTGCCCAAACCAGTTTAGGGTCTTCCTTGGCATTGCCACATCCAATGTAGTGGCCTTTCTGTTTCTCATAAGCATTCTTATATAGATACTATTGGGTGTGAACAAAAGAAAGAACAGTTGTTTTTTCCAAGTTCAATTCGTCTAGGCAGTCAGTTCAACATAGCTCCATTCCATTAGATTCCTCTCTTTGGGGCACTACAAGCACCTCTAGGCAAGAACATTGTGAGCACCTCTGAGGCAAGAAGTGTGCTTCTGGGTAATCCTCCAATACAGGCTTGTCCAGTGTTTCCCAAACTTCAGCCAAGGTTTGGCACCCTCACATG